AATGCTGAGACAAGGAAACAGATCACAAACGAAAGAAATGGAGGACAAAAAGTGACTGGATATAGAGTTCAAAACCACGCTTATAAGGTTTTTCAAGAATTTCCTAGAAAAGGCAGATAAAATAAACGAGACCTATGAGGATATGAAAAGGGATCAACTAGAAATAAAGAATACATTGTCTGAAATAAAAAATATTATACAGAGTCCTAAAAACAGAATGGAAGATCGCAAGAATCAAGTCAAAGATATGGAACACAAAGAGCCAGAGGACACTCCTCCGCAGAAGCAAGAAGATAAGAGAATCCAGAAAGTTGAAGATAATGTAAGAAACCTCTGGGACAACTTCAAGTGAACCAACATCAGAATTATGGGGATCCTAGAAGATGAGAGAGAGCAAGATACCAAAAACATATTGAAAGAAATAGTGAAAGAAAACTTCCCCTACCTGGTGAAAGAAATAGACTTACAAGTCCAGGAAGCACACAGAACCACAAACAAAAGGAACCCAAAGAGGATCACACCAAGACACATCATAATTAAAATTCCAAGAGCAAAAGACTAAAAGAGAATATTAAAAGCAGCAAGAGCAAAGCAGGTAGTTACCTATAAAGAAGCACTCATACGATTGTCAGCTGACTTCTCAACAGAAACCATCCACGCCAGATGGGAATGGCAAGAAATATTCAAGGTGATGAATAGCAAGAACCTACAGCCAAAAATACTCTATCCAGCAAAGCTATCACTCAGAATCGAAGGCCAGATAAAGAGCTTCACAAATAAAAAAAAGCTAAAGGAGTTCATCACTGCCAAATCAGAATTATATGAATTGCTGAAAGGGGTTCTTTAGGAAGAGGAAGAAAATAAAGATAAAAAATTATGAATAACAAATATGTAACTATCAACAAGTGAATCTAAAAACCAAGGAAATTAAAAAAAAATCTGATGAACAATATTAACTGTTGAATATAATAGAATCAGAGGTATGGAAGGGGAGTGGACTGATGATTCTCAGGGAAAAGAGGAGGGGGTAAGGGAAGAGACTGAACATAAACTGTGCACCTATGTATGAGGACAATGGGGGGTGGGGAAAGGGCAGAGGGTGGGGTGAGAACCTGGTGGAGGGGGAAAAAAATGAGGAACTTTTGTAATAATCTGAACAATAAATTTTTATTTAAAAAATTATATAGGTTTCAGGTGTACGATTATATAACACATCATCTGTATGTTATATTGGGTAGTCACCACACCAGTTCAAGTCTCCTTCCATCACATCCATCCCTCTTTACCTGCGCCACCTCCCCTCTCCCTTCCCCTCTAGTAATCACCATACGCTGTGTGTCTATGAGTTTTTTTCTTTCTTTGCCTAATCCCTTCACCTTTTCCACTCCCCAAGACCCATCCCCTCTGACTCGTATAACCTTTTGAATGTAACTAAGATACCAGTTTTTGGAAATGTTCACTTCAGATCACCAAATCTGGGTTATACAATACCCAGAGGGTACATGCTGGGGTCAGTAGAGGAATTAATCATAATGGAGCTAACAACTATTGAGTGTTTATCAAGTGCCAGGCACATTTGTTTGTTTGTTTGTTTGTTTGTTTAATCTTTTGTTAATCCTCACCCAAGAATATTTTTCAATTGATTTTTAGAGAATGGAAGGGAGCGGGGAGAGAGACATTGATTGGTTGCATCCTGTACAAGGCCCCAGGGATGGAGCCTGAAACCCAGGTATGTGCCCTTGACCAGAATAGAACCTGGGACCCTTCAGTCCACAGGCCAAAGCTCTATCCACTGAACTGGTCATTTGCCTAGGGCTCATATTTAAATTTTTGAGGAAACTCCATACTGTTTTCCATAATGGCTGAACCAGTCTGCATTCCCACCAGCAGTGTAGTAGGGTTCCCTTTTCTCCACATCCTCACCAGCACTTGTCATTTGTTGATTTGTTGATGGTAGCAATTCTGACAGGTGTGATGTGACACCCATTGTCGTTTAATTTGCATCTCTGTGATGATCAGTGATGTTGAGCATTTTTCATATGTTTCTTGGTCATCTGAATGTCCTCTTTGGAGAAGTGTCTATTTAGGGCCTTTGCCCACTTTTTAATGGGATTGTTTGTCTTTCTTCTGTTAAGTTGTATGAATACCTTATATATTTTGGATATTAACCCTTTATCAGATGTATCATTGCCAAATATGTTCTCCCATACAGTGGGCTCCCTTTTTGTTTTGTTGATAGTTTGTTTTGCTGTGCAGAAGCTATTTATTTTTATGTAGTCCCATTTGTTTATTTTCTCCTTCTTTTCCTTTGCCCTACACAGTGGTCGGCAAACTCATTAGTCAGCAGAGCCAAATATCAATAGTATGATTGAAATTTCTTTTGAGAGCCAAATTTTTTAAACTTAAACTTCTTCTAAGGTCACTTCTTCAAAGTAGACTCGCCCAGGCCGTGGTATTTTGTGGAAGAGCCACACTCAAGAGGCCAAAGAGCTGTATGTGGCTCATGAGCCACAATTTGCCGACCATGGCCCCAGGAGATGTATCCGTAAACATATTGCTATGAGAAATGTCTGAGATTTTGCTGACTATGGTATCTTCTAGGATTTTTTTATGGTTTCATGACTTACATTTAAGTCTTTTTCCATTTTGAGTTTATTCTTATATGTGGTATAAGTTGGTGGTCTAGTTTCATTTTTTTTTTTTTTAATCTATCCATTTTCCCCAACACCATTTATTGAAGAGACTGACTTCATTGTATGTTTTTGTGTCCTTTGTCAAATATTAATTGAGTGTAATGGCTTGAGTTGATTTCTGGGGTCTCTGTTTTGTTCCATTGATCTATATGCCAGGGTGCCTCTAATTTCTGAGCCTTTCTGTAATTTTATTTATTTTTTATTACTTTAAAATATATTTTATTGATTTTTTACAGAGAGAAAGGGAAAGGGATCGAGAGTTAGAAACATTGATGAGAGAGAAGCATCGATCAGCTGCCTCCTGCACACCCCCTGTTGGAGATGTGCCCGCAACCAAGGTACATGCCCTTGACTGGAATCGAACCTGGGACTCTTAAGTCCCCAGGCCGACACTATCCACTGAGCCAAATTGGTTAGGGCAGCCTTTCTGTAATTTTAGAGGAGAATCATCTTTTTCCTTGTTTTCCTCCTATTAGATTTTAGTTTTTCTTTTTCTTTTCTAAGTTATATATCATTTATCTTTCTGGTCTCCAGCATCTAAAATGTTGGGATCTGTTATCTGTTTTTTTTGTATATGTCCTTTTTATACTTCTAAAATTTATGACTTTTTTATACCCTTTATAATAATTTTAGTGGGATTTGGGAGGCTTTAGAGAAAATTACATATATTCAATTAAAAATCTCCTATTCACTCTTCATCTCCTTCCAATCTGTCCCCACTGTCCCACTAAAACAGGTCATCATAATCATCAGGTATGTTTTCCTCTAGCTTTATTCAGATATAATTGACATATAACATGTGTAAATTTAAGGTGTTGCAATATAATGATATGATACATGTACACACTGTGAAATGTTTACCATATGGAGTTAACACATCCTTCACTTCACGTATTTATTTTGTTATTGTTTTTGTTATGGTGAGCTCATTAAAGCTCTACTGTCCTAGAACATTTCAAATATACAATACAATATTGTTAACTGTAATCATCATGCCATACATTAGATTCCTGGAACTTACTCATAACTGGAAGTTTGTACCTTTTGATCAATATTTCCCCATTTCCCCCACCCCTCAGCCCTTGGCAGCCATCATTCTACTCTGAGTTTGATGTTTTTAGATTCCACATATAAATGAGATCATACAATATTTAGCTTTCTCTGTTTAACTTATTTAGCAAAATGCCCCCCAAGTTCTGCCAAGTTATCGCAGGGTTTACCTTAATTTTTTTATGTCTGAACTAGAGGCCCAGTGCATGAAAATTCATGCACAGAAGGGGAGGTGTCCCTCAGCCTCGCCTGCCCCCTTTCACAGTCCGGGAGCCCTCAGGGGCGAGTGGTGACCTGGAGATTAGGGGAAGGTGACGCCCCATCACACCTCTGCTGCTGCCACTGCCAGCAGTGCAAGCCTTGGCTGGCCCTGGTTACCTGAGCCTCTGGTGACCCTGGGAGGTTGGGCAGTTACCATCAAAGGCTTGCCTGCACCTCAGGTTGGCTCTGGAGGTGAGGGGTGGGCTGAACGGACTAGGGGACTCTGGAGGCAGGCACACAGGGCAGGCCCAGCCTTGCTGTGCACCTGTCACCCCAGTGGGGCTGAGGGGACTGGGCACAGCCATTTTGTGGCTTTGGGCACCGCCATCTTTGAGGTCAAGGCAGTCCATTAGCATAGTCCCTTCTTTATTGGGTGTGGGTGCTGCCATCTTTGCGATGGCGTGAGGGTCATCAATGAGCATATTCCCTTTTTATAGATAGGATAATATATAATTATCTATACTAATAAAAGGGTAATATATTGCCAAAACCGGTTTGGCTCAGTAGATAGAGCATCAGCCTGCAGACTGAAAGGTCCCAGGTTCGATTCAGGTCAAGGGCATGTACCTTGGTTGTGGGCACATCTCCAGTGAGGATTGTGCAATAGGCAGCAGATTGATGTTTCTCTATCATTGATGTTTCTAACTCTATCCCTCTCCCTAACTCTCTGTAAAAAAGTCAATAATTATATATATATATATATATATATATATATATATATATATATATATATATATATTTAAAGGTTAATATGCTAATTAGGGCAGATGTCTTCTGGATGTCCATCTGGACAAAGCCACAGTGGTTGTGAGGCCCAAGGCTTGGGCAGCTGTGGGCTCAGGCAGCCCAGCAGCTGCGAGGCCCAGTGGCAGCAGCAGCGGGGTGCTGGAGGCAGCGCCTTCCCCTGATCAACCTGGTTGCCTCCAGCAGAGGGAGGCCAGCCTACAGCTTAGGCCTGCTGTCTGGAATGGGCCTAAGCCATCAGTAGGACATCCTCTGAGGGCTCCCAAACTGTGAGAGGGGGCAGGCAGGGCTGAGGGACCCCCCTCCAGTGCATGAATTTTTGTGCACTGGGCCTCTTGTCCTATATAATAAAAGCCTAATATGCAAATTAACTGAATGATGGAACGGCCTGTGGAACAACCGGTTGCTATGATGTGCACTGACCACCAGAGGGTAGACGCTTAATGAAGTAGCTGCCCCCAGCCTGCAGGCCCCAAGCCAGCCAAGTCAGGTGCCAGTGGGGGCCCCCCAATCACCCCGCCAGTTGCCCCGCAGAGAGAGGTGACCAGTGGCGATGGTGGGGGGTAAGACTGGCAAGTAGGCAGTGCCAGGCCAGCCAAGGCCAGTGCCAGCAGGGGCCCTCAGGTTACCCCACTGGTCGTCCCTGGCCCTGATTGCTGGCCAGGCCTAGAGATCATACCCATGCACGAATTTTGTGCACCAGGCCTCCAGTGTGTGTGTGTGTGTGTGTATCTCACATTTTCTTTTTTTTTAAAAAATATATTTTTATTGATTTTTTACATAGAGGAAGAGAGAGGGATAGAGAGTTATAAACATCAATGAGAGAGAATCATTCATCAGCTGCCTCCTGCACCCCCCCACTGGGGATGTTTCTGCAACCAAGGTACATGCCCTTGACAGGAATCGAACCTGGGACCCTTCCTGAGCCAAACTGGTTTCAGCTGTATATCTCACATTTTCTTGACCTATTTATCCATTGATGATGGGCACTTAGGTTGTTTCCATGTCTTAGTTATTGTGGATCATACTGCAATGAACATGGAAGTACAGATACACTTAAGATAGTGATTCCATCTCCTTAAGATATATACCCAGAGTGGGATTGCTGGAACTGATGAAGTTCTATTTTTAATTTTTAGAGGAAGCTCCATACTATTTTTATTTATTTTGTGGATGTGAATGTGTGTGTTTGTGGGTGTGTAGGTCAAGACTGTGTGTGTGTGTGTGTGTGTGTGTGTGCGCGCGTGTGTGTGTTTTAATATATTGATTTTTACAGAGAGGAAGGGAGAGGGATAGAGAGTTGGAAACATCGATGAGAGAGAAACATTGATCAACTGCCTCCTACACACCCCCTACTGGGGATGTGCCCACAACCAAGGCATATGCTCTTGACCAGAATCGAACCTGGGACCTTTTAGTCCACAGGCTGACGCTCTATCCAATAAGCCAAACTGTTTAGGGCAGGTCCAGACTATTTTTAATTCTACATTCCCACCAATAGTGCTTCAGGACTCCTTTTCTTCACATGTGTGCCAGCATTTATTATCTCTTGTTTTTGTTTTTGAAAATAAGTCATTCTTACAGGGGCTGGGGATCAAACCTGCAACCCAGGTACATGCCCTTGACTGGGACTCGAACCTGCGGTGCATTGTAGTTGTGGGCTAATGCTCTGGCCACTGAGAACACTAGTTTGGGCACAAAGGGAAGGTTTCTGACAGAAATTAAAGGTGCTGCTCCAGTGAGCACATGAGTGATAGGAGAGAGAAACAGCCTTCCTGCTTATATGGAGAAAGTTGTGGTCTGGATGGAAGACCAAAGCAGCCACAGCACTCTTAGGCCAAAGCCTACTCCTGAGCAAGGCCCTCACTTTCTTCAATACCATGAGGCTGAGAGGTGGAAGCTGCAGGAGGAAAGTTGAAGATAGAAGTTGGTTTATGAGACTTAAGGAAAGTCTGTATATAACAGTGCCAGGTGCAGCTCTGGCTAATGTGGCTCAGTTGGTTGAGTGTCCCAGGCACTGAGAAGAGAAGACTCCAGTTTGATTCCAGGTCAGGGCGCATGCCCAGGCTGGGGTCTTCATTCCCAATAGGGGGCAGGGCGTACAGGAGACAGCCAATCAATGATGTTCCTCTCTCATTGATGCTTCTCTCCCTTCCTCTCTCTCTACATTCTATAAACACACACACACACACAATTTTAAAAGTACAAGGTGCAGCAGCAATTGCTCATGTAGAAGCTGCAGCAAGTTCTTCAGAAGATCTAGCTGAGATAATTAATAAAGGTATCTGTACTAAACCGGATTTTCAATGGAGACTAAACAGCCTTGCAATGGAAGAAGATGCCATTTAGGACTTTCATAGCTACTAATGCTGGTTTCAAAGCTCCAAAGGGCAGGCTGCCTCTCTTATTAGGAGCTAATGTAGCTGGTGATTTTAAATTGACGCCAAAGATCATTTACCATTCCCCAAATCCTAGAGCTCGTAAGTAGATTTACGCTAAATCTATTCTGCCTGTGCCTTGTCATGGAACAATCAATTCTGGATGACAGTATATCTGTTTACAACATGATTTATTAAATATTTTAAGCCCACTTTTGAGAGCTACTGCTCAGAAAAAAGATTCCTTTCAAAATAGTACTGTTCATTGACAATGCACCTGGACACCCAAGACCTCTGAGGAGATGCACAGGAGATTAATGTTGTAATCATGGAACACAACCTTCATTCTGTCAGCCCATGAGTCAAGGAGTAACTCTGGTTTTCAAGTCTTGTTATTTAAGAAACGAATTTCAGGCCTGGCTACTGTGGCTCCGTTGGTTAAGCATCATCCCGAGCACCGAAAAGATGCCAGTTTGATTACGTCAGGGCACACGCCCAGGTTGCGGTTTTGGTCCGGGTTCGGGAGGTGGGAACAGGAGGCAACCGATTGATGTTTCTCTCTCAACACCCATGTTTCTCTCTCTCTCTCCCTCTCCCTTCCCCTCTAAAAAACAAATAGAAAAAAGAAACACATTTCATAAGTCCGTAGCTGCCATTGTCAGTGATTCCTCTGAGGGATCTGGGCAACGTAAACTGAAAACCTTCTGGAAAGGACTCACCGTTTTGTATGCCATTAAGAACATTGAGATTTATGGGAAAAGTCAAAATACCAACATTATCAGGAGTTCAGAAGAAGTTGATTCCAACACTCGTGATGACTTTGAGGGGTTCAGGACTTCAGTGGAGGCAGTAACTGCAGGGATGGTGGGAAAAGAAAGAGCCAGAAAATCGGTAGAGCCAGAAGATACGACTGAATTGCTGCAATCTCATGATAAAACAAATGAGGAGTTACTTCTTACAGATGAGCAAAGAGAGTGGTATTTGAGATGGAATCTACTCCTGGTGAAGATGCTGTGGAGATTTAAATGACAACAAAGGATTTAGAATATTATATAATCTTAGTTGATAATGCATTGGCAGGGTTTGAGAGGATTGACTCTAATTTTGAAAGAACTTCTATTGTTGCCGAAACCGGTTTGGCTCAGTGGTAGAGCGTCAGTCTGCAGACCGAAAGGTCCCAGGTTCGATTCTGGTCAGGGGCATGTACGTTAGCTGGGGGCACATCCCCGGAAGAGGGTGTGCAAGAGGCAGCTGGTCGATGTTTCTCTCTCATCGATGTTTCTATCTCTCTATCTCTCTCCCTTCCTCTCTGTAAAAAATCAATAAAATATATATTTAAAAAAGAAAGAAAGAAAAGAACTTCTGTTGTTAATATGCTATCAAACAGCATCACATGCTATAGAGAAATCATTTATGAAAGGAATTCAGTCCATGTGGTGAATTTCATTGTTGCTTCATTTTAAAAAATTGGCCAGATACTTCAGGAGCCACGGGCTTCTGTGCAGAGATGGCCAAGTCCCAGAACCACAACCACACACAACCAGTCCTGAAAATGGCACAGAAATGACATCAAGAATCCCTGATCACAAAGATATGAATCCCTTAAGGGGGTAGACCTCAAGTTCCTAAGGAAGATGTGCTTTGCCAAGAAGCACAAGAAAGGCCTGAAGAAGATGCAGGCCAACAACGCCAAGGCCATGAGCGCATGTGCCGAGGCCTTCAAGGCCCTCGCCAAGCCCAAGGAGGTCAGGCCCAATATCTCAAAGGGCAGCAGCAGCTAGCTCAGTCGACTTGCCTACATCACTCCAAGCTTGGGAAACGTGCTTGTTCCGCATCTCCAAGGGGCTCAGGCTCTGCAGGCCAAAGGCCAAGGCCAAAACCAAGCCCAGGCTGTGGGTGCAGTTGCAACTCAGGCTCCTGATCCCAAAGGTGCCCAGGCCCCCACGAAGACTCCACAGTAGAGGCCTCGGTCTGCCGACGTGATGTGAGGACGGAAGGACTGTTGGGACCTCTGGGTTGCTGTCTGCATGGAGCTGGTGTCCTCCTTTGCTATTTGAACAAATAAACCTGCGGCAGGATCTGTCAAAAAATAAAAACAAGAAATTGGCACGGCCACCCCAGCCGTTAGCAGCCACCACCTTGGTCAGTCAGCAGCCATCAACACTGAGGCAAGACCCTCCACCAGCAAAAAGATTATGACTGGCTGAGCTCAGATAAAGCTTAGCATTTTTTAGCGATAAAGTATTTTCTCAAGGTATGAACAGTACATATTTTTAAAGACATAATGCTATGCACACTTAATAAACGAGGGTATAGTGAAAACATAACTTTTATATGCACTGGGAAACCAAAAAATGTGTGTGACTTGCTTTATTGCAACACTCACTTTATTGTGGTGGTCTAGAACCGAAGGAACCTGCAGTATCTCCAAGGTATGCCTGTCCTGATAAAGGCGGGGAAATACCTGCTTTAACATACTTTAGCCTGAGTAAAGATTTAAAGGAATGTTTTTATGGATTTTTAAAAAAACATGCTTTTATTGATTTTTAGAGAGACAGTGGAAGGGGGGGGGAGAGAGAGAAACATCAACGAGAGAGAAACATCATCACTGACCCGCTGCCTCCTGCACCTCCCCAGCCGGGTACAGAGCCCGCAGCCCACAGCCCCGGGCGTGGGCCCTGACTGGGAGTCGGACCAGCGACCTCTTGCTCATGTGTCGATCGATGCTCAACTGCTGAGCCACACCAGTGGGCAAGACTTTAATTTTGAAGTTTGCTAAAGGTCAGAGGCATGAAATATAAAATGCATCTTTTACATGAATTGCTATTCTTTGGAGGAAGAGTTCCCTCTTTGATATTTATGGTTCTGTTATCTGCTGTTACTAGCCCAATCCCTCACCACCACAACCAAAAGGAGAGCCCTGCTGTCTGGTGGGAAGCCGTCCCTGAGTTCCTGTCAGACAATCCAGTTTCTCCCCAAGCGCCTCCATTCCCCAACACTTCCAGGGGGAGCTCAGAGGGAGCGAGTCGAAGTTCACGCCGGGGCCTTTTAAGAGGGACCTGGGTCTCCTGCAGCCTCAGTGTCTTTGTGAAGGAAGAAAGATCGGGTTTGCCGGCATTGCCAGCAAGTCACTCACTGGACGCCAGGAGAGCGGCCTGGAACTCCCTTGCAGCTCTCGGACGTGACCAACCCTGCTGCAGTCCTTGATCTCGAACTTCTAATTTCCACAAGTGTGAGGACAATAGGTTTCTGTCACTCTGTTTATGGTACTTTTGCTACAACAGCCTTAGTAAATATATAAAGACTTTGTATCGCTTTCCCTGTCAAACACCTTCCAGTTGCCAATCATACTTTCTGTATGGAAGATTTAGCTGAATGAAGTAAGGCAAAGTGCAAGACTCCCTCCCTGTGATAGTGGCGGAAAGAGAATATTGGGGACCAGTTGTAATTGTAAGAAATATTAATCATGCTCTGTTAACCGTGATTGTTTTGTTCTGATTTTTAAAAAGCACTTTCTAAGCTGGCTGGGAATTGCCTGTGGGACCTGGGAGCTCACCTGGAAATGCAGTCCATCCTCCCCATCAGGAAGTTGCCATTTATCATGGAAACATTAACCTGTTGCAGAAACCAGAGCTGCCAGCCCTTTGAAGACCCATAGCCCTTTGCATATCACTAAGCCCTTTAAAGATCCCCAGGCCTTTGTATGTCACCAGCCCAGTGGTCGGCAAACTCATTAGTCAACAGAGCTAAATATCAACAATACAACAGATTGAAGTTTCTTTTGAGAGCCAAATTTTTTAAACTTAAAACTATATAGGTTACATTGTTATTAATTAGGTTACTCCTAAGCTGGCCTTTGCTGAAAACTCAAGGGGCCTGAAGAGCTGTACTAGCCCTTTGGAGACCTCCAGCCTTTGCATACCCGCAGGCCTTTGCAAATCCCAAGACCTGTCAACAGCCCATTTGGCATGCATTTTGCCTACTTCCCCGTGTAATCTTTGTCTTTCTACCCAATATAAGCAGCTGGCTTATAGAGGGTAGAGAGCAGATTTTTGTGGCTGACCTGCTGCAGGCAGTATTGGAATAAATGCTCATATATGATTCAATCTTCTCTGTTTTAATTGGTTCAAGTAGTGACAGGCATCATTGACCTGGTGACTGTCCCTAACACCTGGACCAGCGTTACCTGGGAGATCCAGGAATTGGCACCAGGAGGATACCAGAGGTGCCTGCCACGCCCCTGGATCCTTCACAGTGCTTGCTGGGTCTTACAGTTCTGGCCTGCGGAGCCTGGGCCAGAAGCTTCAATACTTCCTTTCCCCGCCCATAGTCCCACAGACTGCCAAGCCAAGCAGCCAATAGGTGGCCTGACGGGCGATTTCTTGAATCCCATAGGCGTAGAGTTTTGCAGCCGCCCTTGTCAAGTTGCCAATTGCTCCAGCCTCCAGTCAGCTTTGCACATTTCCCTTGCAGGCGGGGAGCCGGGAGCTTGGGAGCTGAGGGTCTGAGACCATGGGACTTGGATCTGAGTAGCACTTAGGAGATGCTGTGCAACAGAGTGAGTGTGCCCCGGTGGCCGGCGGCGGAGGAGTGGGGTGGTGAGCAATTTGTTACTCCTTCTGTGAGCTCCAGTCAGGGAGGGTGGGCGGCCCGGGGGGGGGGGGGGGGGGGCGTGACCCCCTGCCCGCTTCCCACCCGGGGAGTGGACCGGTCACCTCTTTCCCATGGTGAGGTGGCCTTCCTTAGTCCTGAGCCTGAGATGACACCCCCTCCCCTACCCCCCATCTTCCACCTAGGTCAGTGGTTGGCAAACTCATTAGTCAACTGAGCCAAATATCAACGATACAACAACTGAAATTTCTTTTGAGAGCCAAATTTTTAAAACTCAAATTATATAGGTAGGTACATTGTTATTAACTTAATTAGGGCACTCCTACGCTCGCCTTTGCTAAAAACTCAAGGGGCCAAAGAGCCGCATATGGCTTGTGAGCCTCAGTTTGCCGACCACTGACCTAGGTTACCAGGTTCTGAGAAAGTCACCCCTAGGAGGCCGTTGGCTGACTGCCAGGGTTGTGTGATGGAATTATGCCAACACCTCCGTCTCCCGCTGAGCAACATTTTAAACTTGACCCTTTCCGGATGCCCCTTGTCATTCCCCAGTCAGGGCCACTGTCAGTGGTCCAGTTCCATCCAGACTCCGTGGCCACCTCAGGGGGTGCCCGAAGCCAAAACTTGCCTCGGGCCTTTCAGGGGTTTCCGTGGAGTAGGCGCACAGCTTGTGGTTAAGAGCACAGTTAAACCCAGGCCCCAGGATGGCTGAGTTAATGTCTCTTTGCCTCCGTTTCCTCATCCGCACCTGGGTATCCTTGAGGCTGAGGTGAGAATTAATGAGATGCCTCACCTGGGCATGGACTAGGACTTGGTAAATGGGAGCAGCTCCCTCACTTCTTGCACTCTCAAAAGAAGAGGCACCACTAACGGAGGGCAGGGGGCCCGGTCTGGTGTGTGGTGGGGGGGAGGGAAGGCGATGAGCTCCCTTCTCTGTCGGTGGGACGTTGGGTGCTCTGGGTTTGCGCACAGGGTTTGACACGGGCTGAAGACATTTTTGCTCCTCTTCCCATGAGCCTCATTCTTCCTTGTACACTGATTCTTCCTTTCTGAGGGTCACTTTTGTCCTAACTTCTGCTGACCTTTTTAAAGCTGAGCTCTGCCAAAAACTAACTTTCCTGTATAAGATCCTTGAAAGTCTCACTAAGTCCCTTGAAGGTCTCATGAAGACCCTTAAGTAATCCTGTAACTGTGGTTTTGAACTCTGTATCCAGTAGTTTGCTTCCTTCCACCTTTCACTTGTGACATGTTTCTTTGTCTGTACATTTTGGCTGTTTCCATGTGTTTGTTTCTATGTATTAAGTAGAGCTGTCATGTCTCCTGGCTTTGGTAGAGTGATCTTGTGTAGTAGGTGTCCTGTAGGGCACAGTGGCTCAGCCTTCCCAGTCACCTGAGCTGGGCACTCTAGGTGGGCCCCTATGTGAGCTATTGATATATGTGCAGTGTTGTTGTAGTTGAGAGTTGATTGCTATTGGCATTACTAGGAGGAATTGACCTCCAGGCCAATTGGCTGTGAGGACCACCTGCAAGTACAGTGGGAGAGCTGCTGTGCAGGAGACACCCTTATGAAGCAGGACTTGCTTCGGTGGGGCTTTGGTGCTCACTGAGTCTGCCCCTTGAGTGTGTCACTTGTGGATGTGTTGGATTGTAACCTGATATGGTCTGAAGTTGTCCACTGGGTGCAACTCTTGGGCCTTTTATTGATAGGTTTGGGGCAGCTGCAGCTTGTTTGAAAGATTTTAGCAACGTTAGAAGCCTGAGCCAGGACAGGCCTTTCATATGGAAAATCTGCTGCAAACAGCTTGGGTGGGGCTGCAAATGGGATGGGGGTGGGTCTCAGGCAATCACCAGGCAGCGTAAACAGTGTGCTCCAGGTCGATGGGGACTCAGATGTGCTTGCCAGTCAGGCCTGGGACAGGGGAGGTCTGGGCATAGGAACAGTGACCCCTTCCAGCACCTCCATCTGGTAGAAAGTCAGACAATCCAGTTCCTCCCCATATGTATCTGTGTCCCCCAACGCCTCCCAGCACTGGAGCTCAGATTAAGCAAGTCTGAATAAGTTGATGCCAGGGCCCTTTAAGATAAGGTGACCAGACGTCCCGCTTTTGGTGGGACAGCTCTGATTTTTAACAATTTGTCCCGCCAAAAGTGGGACGTCTGGTCACCTTACTAAGAGGGATACCTGGGTCTCCACTCCAGCAGCCTTCATGTCTCTCAGCCATAATTCCCACTGGTCTTCACAACCCGAAGTTATGGGGACTTCCCTTCCCAGCTCTGGGACCCTGAGTGGGGGTGTCATGTGGGGCTGGGACCCTTTTCTGCTCAGGGTGACCTCTGAAGCCCTTGTGGGTGCCAGTTCAGCCCGGTTGGCACCTCCACCCCTCTCACTAGTCTCACCATACTTCTTCTCTAGTTGTAGGACTTCCATTCAGCTTTCAGGCAGTTCTGAATGACGGTTGTCCTGTATTTCAGTTGTAATTTTGATGGTTGTGGGAGGCGGTGAGTGCCAGCATTTACCTACGCCGCCATCTTGGTTCCCCTCCTAAGCTGCTGGTTTTTAAGAAATGAAGAGAAAACTGGTTTTGTATCCTCCCCTACCCAAAAATTCCACAGAAGTTTTCTTAAAAAGGAGGCATTGCTTCTCCGCTCCCCTCAAGCTCCATTATCCATGTCTGGGGCATTTCAGCTCAAGGAGAGAAAAGGTTGTGGGGGCCTCTTGGACAAAAAGTTTCTGCTCCCTACTTTCTTACCAACTCCCTTGGAACACAGAACGCCTTCCGTTCACTGGCCTCTTGAAGAAGCAGTTGGATTCGGTGTTATTTGGCGTGAGGCCAGGGGTCATTGTTCCTATACCCAGACCTCCCCTGTCCCAGGCCTGATTGGCAACCATGTCTGAGTGCCCATCAATCTGGAGCACACTGTTTACTCTGCCTGGTGATTCCCTGAGACCCAGCCCCTTCGTGTGTAGCTCAGGGTGGCTGTGTCTAAGCCCTTGCTCACCTGCAGGGAGGAAGAGGAGAACCCATAGGAGAGTCAGAGCAGGGCCGGGCTTGTGAAGGTGGACAGGGGTCCTGTGGCCGCCATGGTCTCTCCCTGATCTGGGAAGGCAGCTGGCCATGGCTTGTCACTTTAAGCCCAGAGAAGGCCATTTGCACGGAGGACTGTTGACACCAGAATTGGTTTGGAAGGTGGACGTATGGGGACAGGTGCTGTGGGTGGGTAGAGGGAAGGCATTGAAGAGTGTGAGTAGGACAGGCCCTTCTTTTTGCAAAAATGAGGCTGGGTTGGCATTTGGAATTCTGCCTCTCTGGGGAATAGCTATGAGAGGGAGGGGCCCTGACGCAGGCACTTGGTGTCTTGTGGGGGTTGGGGGATGGGCGCTGTGGCCTGGCAGTCTCTCCCTGGAGAAGGTTCCAGTTCCCAGTCCTGAGCCCCTGTGCCTCTTGTTTTTGCTTTTCCCCAGACAGAGCCGCCATGGGGACAGCCCCAGGGCCTGTTCACCTGCTGGAGCTGTGTGACCAGAAGCTTATGGAGTTTGTGTGCAAAGTGGACCCACACTTTGTGTGGCTCGAGGAGATCCAGGAGGAGGCCAGGTGTATGTTCACCAGGTGAGGGCGGGCACAGGGGCAGGCTGGCGGAGGCACCGGGGCTGCCGGCCGCTGGAGCTTTGTGGAGGCAGCGGCCCATTTCCTGATGGACAGGGGTCTCTCCTGAGTGCCCAGTGTGCTGGACCTGAACTAGGCTAACGGGAAGAGGAAGGAGAGTGTTGGGCTGGGCCTCGGAGGATGGGGCTGCACGTGCTTCCCTGGCCACCTTGCTCTCCTGCTGCATCTCAGAGGACTCCCTTGGTGCTAGTCCCCCAAATGTGACCTGTCACTGCCAGGAAATGGGTGGGGGCTGGGCTGGGAAAGGGAGGTGTCAGTGGTTCCAGGCGGCCACAGGTATCACCCTTGTTGTACCAGAGGATTCATCAAGGAGCCGGAGCTGATGCCCAAAACGCCCTCTCAGAAGAACCGAGGGAAGAGGAGAAGGATTGCTAACATTCAAGATGCCGGCAGAAACCCCATCCGGAAAAGGAAAAGGTAAGAGGGGCCGGGGGCTGCCACCAGCCAGGGGAGGGTCAGCCGGGCAGACGGTGTCTGGAGGCTGGGTGCCCAGCGAGAGAGAGTGGTTCCCAGGAGCAGAGGCCTGCAGGAGTGGTGGTGGGTGCCACGTGGGCCATGCTGGGGGTGAATTATTACAGGGAAACAAAGCATGACGCGAGACGTGGGAGTCCAGAGTGTGTGTCTGTGTGTGTTGGGGTCAGGGTGGTTTGATCTGGGCCTCGGAGGATGGGAAGGGTTTCCAGAGATGGATGAGGAAAGAACCCAAGTTTCTGCTCTGCTTGTGGCCCTGGGGTCTGTTGCTCAGCTGCTGGGCTCTGCTTGTTGTGGTCCCCATGGAAATGACTGAGGGCTGCAGACTACCAGCAAAGGAGGCCAGGTCTTGGGGCAGGAGATCCTGAGTACATACCCAGCTCTGCCCCCTTACACTATATGCCCTTTTGTTAACTTTCCACCTCTCTGAGCCTCAGTTTCTTCAAATCTAAAGTGAGAACGGTCCCTGCTTCTCAGTACTGTACTGTCTTGTAGGTTAAGTGATAACATGAGCAAAGCCTGTAGCGGACTGCTGGGTCCAGTGTGAGCTCAGTCAGCGAGAGGCTCTATGCATTTAATCTCCCCAGCAGTGCGGTGAGCACTGGCATTATCCCAAAGTTACAGGTTGGGAGACTAAGGCTCAGAGAGGGTGGCCCAGGGTCTCATGGCATGGGGTGGCAGAGCCTGGGCTAGAACCCTGGTCTTCTGCCTCCAAGCCTTTCACTTTATTTTTATTTTTTATTTATTTTTAAATTATTTATTTATTTTTTATTGATTATGGTCTCACATAATTGTCCTTATTCCCCCATTCCCATCCCAAACCCCTCCCTAGATATGTCCCACCCTCACCCCCCATTGTCCATGGCCACTGGCTAGGCCCATATGTATGCACACAAGTCCTTTGGTTGATCTCTTCCCCTTACCCCCATCCTCCCTAACTTTACCTCTGAAGTTTGAGAGTCTGATCGCTGGTTATTTTTTATTAATATATATATATTTTATTTCTGAGAGGAAGGGAGGGGGAGATAGAAACATCAATGATGAGAGAGGATCATTGATTGGCTGCCTCCTTCACACCGCCCACTGGGAATCAAGCAGCATGTGCTCTTGACTGGAATCGAACCCGGAACACTTCAGTTCACAGTCCGATGCTCTGTCCACTGAGCCAAACCGGCTAGGGCAGCTCTTCACTTTCTATTTGACCTGAGCTGATCTCCCTGCCTCGTTCCCTCCCTCCCTCTTGGACAGTTTTTGTAAAGTGCCAGGAACCTCCCAACAACCATCAAGGGCCACAGCCTCCACATTAGTGGGATCAAACCCCAGCCCCTGTGTGGCCCCATCACTTGCCATTTCACGCCTCAGGGGCTTCATGCCTCAGGGTCTCCGTACAAGTTGTTCCCTCTGCCAGGGGTACCTTTCCCCACATTTGTTCCACCTGGCAGGACGCCACCTCCGCCTCCATGCAGCCGGCCCTCACCCTCGGAGCTGCCTGTCCTCCCCTGTGGCTCCCACTGGGACCAGGTCCTCTGGGCTGGGATCCGACGAGGATCAAAGCTGCTAAAGTGACAGAGCCTTTTGCACATGGCAAACACTCATAAGCGCCCTACGTGGGCTAACGAAAGGAACCCCAGCCCTTTCAGCTGATGCTGTGATCACCCCAGCTGACTGATGAGGAAGTTCTGTAACCTGCCGGGGCCACAGGGGAGGTACATGGATGAACTAGCACTGCAGCCCAGCTAGCTGTCCCCGCAGAATGAGGTGACTGCGATGACTAGTCACATGCCTTCACCTCAGTTTCTTCAGACTCAACAGTCTCACCGACAGGAGTGAAGTGGAGAGCCCCTGCGGGAGGAGAGCAGAACACACTGGTCCAGATGATCGGGGAGGATCCAAGATGGCTGCTTGGGTAGACACCTAACCGCAGCAGCACACAACAATTTCAATGGAATACAACTAAAATGTAGAGTGGACATCGCCCAGAGCTACAGCTAGTCGACTGACTGAAAATTCTACAACAAGAAGGAAAGAGAAAACCAGAAGGAAAATCAGAGGAGCTGAAAAAAAGCCTAAGGTACGGAGACATGCTGCGCGCTCGCACACACCCGCGTGTGGAGAGGTCGCAGCCGGAGAGGAGGAGAGGGCTGGGTGCTGCCTGGCGTTCCATAGCAGGAAGGAAATAAAACCCCCAGCCTGGGCTAAACCCCCGAACCGGCAGCGCTGAGCCCCAGTTATGAGCCAGACCCTGGGGACCCAGGCTTGGGCAGGGGAAGACGGGGCTGTGAGGTGGAATTCCAAGCGAGCAGCGAAAAGCAGGGCCCCCGGAGTCGCGTGCACTGTGCGCAGAGGACAGTCTGTTGACTCTGATCCTAGACTCCCCTAGCGGGAAGGAAAAAAAAAAAAAAAGCTCCAGACTGGAGGAATGCGACAGGGAGCAGGAGCCCCTGCCGGACACCAGCCAGCCGGGCGCCAGCAGGGAGCCGGGTGACGGGGACCCCAGCGGGGGGGTGCCCCTGAGCCTTCGACCTCTGAGCGCGGGCAACGGAGCCAAGGCCGGGGGCTGCTTCCTGGGCGGCGCCAACCCCGGCAACAGGCTGGAGCAGCGCGTGAGCCCGCGGAGAACAAAGGGGTGCCACAGGCCAATCTGCTGAGCTCCCAGGACAAGGAGGAAGAAACCAAAGTTCTCAATGTGAAGACATCAAGTGAGAGCAAAAGATAGTAAAATTACTTAAGAAAGAATACAAAGAAGATCTTGAAAAATCAAAGACTAAGTCAGAACTCAACTCACCAGCCAACATTGCAACATAAATGCGTTTAAAAAAAAAAAAAAAAGGACAGAATGTTGGAACAGTGGCGGCCAGGCCTAGAGTGCCCAGGCACAAAGCAATGGCAACCGGGCCCGGAGCAGCAACGGCCAGGCCCCAGAGCAGCAGCAGCCAGAACCAGAGCAACAACAGCCAGCACTGGAGCAGCCAGACCTGGGGCAGTGGCAGCCAGGCCTGAGGCGGTGGCAGCCAAGCCCAGGGTGGCCAGTCCAGGAATACCCAGACCCGGAGTGGCCGGACCCGGAGAAGCTGGGCCCAGAGCAGCCGGGTTGGGAACAGCCAGGTCCAGAACAGCAGTAGCCAAGCCCGGAGTATCCAGGCTGGGAGCGGCCAGACTCGGAGCGGCCGGGCCCGGGGAAGCCAGGCCCAGAGCAGCCGGGTCTGGTGCAGCCAGGCCAGGAGCAGCAGCTGCCAGGCTGGGAGCGGCCAGGCCCGGAGCAGCTGTGTCTGGTGCGGCCAGGCCTGGAGCAGCATCTGCCAGGCTGGGAGTGGCCAGGCCCGGAACAGCTCGCTTCTCGCCTGCCCTTGCCCCACGGCTGCCTCTCAGACATGGCTGGAAACTTTTGTGGGAACTTGAGGGTCTGCTGAATCAAGTGATGAAGGCTTAGATCTAGATGTGCTGAGTTAGTATAGGGCTGGGGTGTTGATCTGTGAGTGCCTTGGGTGGGGCCTGGATGAGGCTGGTTGACCTATTTGGAAATGTCTTTTGTGTGAAATGTATCATTGGGCATGTGGTGGTATTATTGATATGAGAAAATGCTAAGTAACAGATTTACTATCTGAAAAGGGATTTACTATCGGGGAAAGGGAGGGAGGAAGAGACTGAACATAAACTGCACCTATAAATGAGGACAATGGGGGATGGGGAGGGGGTGGAGGGTGGGGTGGGAACCTGGTGGAGGGGGGAAGAAAAGAGGAACCTTTGTAACAATATGAACAATAAAGATTGATTAAAAAAAAAAAAAAAAGAACATACTGGTCCAGGGGAGGAGCCCCTGCTGAGCCCCTGCGGGAGGAGAGCGGACACACTGGCCCTGGGTGGAGGGCGCAGGCTCGAGAATGGCATTGACCACAGGGATGTGTGGTCAGCGTCCCTGACCTCAGTTTCCTCATTTGTAAAACCAAAATGTTGGCGGAGATCTGCCATGCACTCCTCCAGGGTCTCTACCCGAGGGGTTAGAGGCGGCCCTCCTGGAGGGGACGATTTTGCTGGCAGGCTCACAGTGGCTCCTCTGCTTTCAGCGGCGAGGAGGACCCCAGCAAGGAGGCGGGGCCGATGGAGGAGGCGGGGCCGATGGAGGAGGCGGGGCCGATGGAGGAGGCGGGGCCTGAGGTAAGGCAGGCAGCCAGGGAGGGCCTTAGAGCTTGTGCTCTGTGCTGTGAGTCCCAGGTGCAGACTCCTAAAGTCTGATTTTTTTTTTTCTTCTGTTAATCTTCACCCAAGGATATTTTCCCAATTTTTAGAAAGAGTGGAAGAGAGAAGGAGAGAGAGAGAGAGAGAGAGAGAGAGAGAGAGATACTTCGATGTGAGAGAGACACCTTGGTTGGTTGCCTCCCACACATGTTCTGACCAGGACCAGGGACTGAGCCTGTAACCCAAGTATGTGCCCTTGACTGGATCAAACCCGAGACCCTTCAGTCTGCAGGCCGATGTTCTATCTACTGAGCCAAACTGAAAAAAGCAAAAAACAAAAACCGACTAGGGCTTATTTTTAATTTTAGAGCACATTAATTACAGAAACAAGGAAGACCCTAGGATAGTAGAAGCAACAGGAGAAGGCCTAGGTGGGGAAATGAGCCTTCGCTGGACTGCTTGGCTCACTAAAAAGTCATAGAAAAGGGGGCCTGGGGACAGGTTCGCGGGTTTGCCCGGGACAAACTGCCCCTGCCCACTGCTGCCCTGGTTGCAAGCCTCGTGGGTAGACCCCTAAAGTCTTGGTTCCTCCCTCAGGTCCCCAAGGATGAAGAGAGCGCCTTGCGCCCCCGAGGTGCCCCTGGGACGGTCATTAGTATGGCTGGCTCGCAGCCTGCGGCCGGGGGCCAGGACAAGCCCTCCACGGGGCAGCATGGTGAGTTCCTGACGGCCGTGTGCAGGCACCTGCGGGGTGCGGGCCGGGAGGCCTCGGCCGGGCTTTCCCTCTGGGGAAAGGGGAGCCACATTTTCTGGGCTGTAAGCTGAAGGTAAATGAGACCCATCTCCTGCCTTTTGCTGCCAAGTGCCATGCGAGTGGGGGCGGGGCTGGGGGAGGGGCTTGCATTGGGGCAGGCCTGGAACGCCACTCCAGGGGGCAGCAGGAGGAGCTGTGTGCTGGGGGCTTGTTTAGTCCTTGCCACTGGCTCCCTTCTCACCTTTGTGGGTCCTTGTCTACAGAGGACGGAGGGCCCCCGACTCTGGGCTCTGGCATCCCCCGTCTGCCACAGGGGCCTGGGGTCCAGCTCGGCTCCCTGGTGGGAAGAGCACTGTAGTTGCGAGGTCTTGAACTCGGCTTCCCCGTGACCCCGGGTCAGGGACAATGGCCATGCCAGCCCCACAGCTCCCTGAGGGCTGCAAGGACCCTTTGGGACAAAGGACAGGGGAAGGATCGGTGCTTTGTCCTGGCAGTGAAACAGAAGGGACTGACCGCCCCTGCCCCTCATGGGGACCCTGCATAGAACCCTCCCCTCCTGTCACATCAGCTCCAGCTGAGAGGGCCAGGCGGTGGGTCTGGAAGCTCGTCCGTGGGTCTGTGAGAACTTGCACCTTCCACGGGCTTCTGCTCCTGGAAGGCACCCAGTTCTGTGAGAGGTGCCAGGTCCTGGTTCGCCCTGAAGTTCCCGGCACAGAGGCCAGGCTGGGGGCGCGGGGAGCAGTCCATGGGCCGGGGGTTGCGTGCTGGCTCTGTTGCCCACAGATCTGCCCAGGCCAGTGGTGCTAAGGCTGATGCTTCTGCCACCAGTCACCCTGGGGTCTGCCCGGAGAGAGCCCTGTCCAGCTGCCACCCGTGGGCCCCTTCCGACCCTCCATGCTGTCGCTGCTCCCTCACTGAAATCACTCTCTCTTCACAGAGGCCAAGATCCATCTGGCAGATGGCCCCGAGGAGCCGCCCCAGAGGCTCAGGTTTGTGTCTGGGAAGGGGTGTGGGCCACTATTCCGAGGGGCCCTGAGGGGCGTGAGCCTCGAGTCCTCCTGGGGAGGCTGGGCGTATGGTCAGGGGCCTGGTGCTCCGACCGAATGAAGGAGGCAGCCTGATGCTGGGCAACGCGCCTGGCCTGGGAGGAAGTGGCCAGCTCCTAGACTCCACCCTTCTGTGTCCTCCTGGCCATGTGACCTCGGACTGGCCCCTTCCCTTTGTCTGCCTGGGCATGGAGAGTCCGTCCGGGGAGACCCCACCTCTGCAGCGTGGAGTCCTATGGGCGGGTCCCAGTTTTCTTCGTAATGGTGGGGGGCCCTGGGTTAGCCCCGTGACCTGTAGGAGGAAGCACAACTGCAGAAGAAAGCTCAACAACAAGGAAGCGGTGAGTGAGCTGGAGGAGGCCCTGCGGCTCCCCCGGAGCAGCACCCCTTCCCCGCCCGCTCCAGCCAGCAGGGTGAGTGGCGGCATCCTGCCCTCAGGGCCTCTGCCCTCCCCGGAGTCCACCCCTGGCCTGACCCTGGTCCGTCCGCAGGTGGTGCAGCCTGTCCGGACCTTCCCGCACACCATGCAGAGGAGCCAGACGCCCATGACCCCGGCCCCGGCCGCCCGCAGCAGGGCCATAAGATCCTTCGTTAAGCGAAACACTCCCCTGCGTGTGGACCCTAAGGTGAGGGAGCCCGCGCCCGCGGACTCTGCTAGAGCGGGCGTGGGCCGCAGCTCCTGGGAGGCCCCGAGGCTGCTGGGCCTGCGCTAAGGCAGCTGTGACCTGGCCCTGGCCCAGGGCCTGCTCGGGCCTCTCCGGCCATGGGCTGCCTCCGCATCTGGGGACTGGCCTGACCTCTTGGGCTCAGCACTGGGGCCCAGAGGCTTGGCATCTCAGTGTGATCCCTGGGCTGGGAAGTTGAAGAGTTGGCTTAGCAGGCCCACATCCTGACCGCCCACCCCACACCCAGCGCCGTGAGGGTTAAGGTGTAGGACATACTTGTGACACTTTCACCGCCTCCCTCCTGCCCATCCCTGAGCTACCACCCTGAGGGGAGGGCGGAGCAATGGGTGCTTGAAGGTCAGACAGGTGACTGAGGGTGGAACTGTCAGCAGGGGCCTCTGAAAAGGAGGCCCCAGAAGCTGTTCTCTTCCCAGACACCCCAGAGCTGGGCTGGGCCACCTGCCGTGAGCCATGAGCCATAGAGAGCTGGGATCTGCTGGCCCGAGTCCCGGCTCTCAGGCTCCCGAGTTGCAAAGCTGCAGCCGCTTTATTGCTAAGTTCCCACTGGTGCTTCGAAGGGCCTCCTGCTAGGAGGACTCTGCCCCCTCTGAGGGCCTGAGGGCCTCAGCGGCACAGCCGTGGGGCTCAGCAGGTCAAGGGGCTTCGGAGCAGTTGGACAGGTGGACCCTGAACTTGCCTCGCCTGCAAGGAGGCTGGTCTCTGGGTGGCTGTGGCAACGGCTTACCTTCCAATATGCCAGCCAGTGGGCAGGGAGCCCTTAATGCCTATTTCTCTGCCAGGCCCCTGCGAGGCACCAGGGCCCACTGCAGTGAACCAGGCTCAGACTGTTCATCCCACAGGGAGCTTCTGTGCCAATCCAGGCTGAGTGGGGCCTTGCAGGGCTCTTGGCATGGCTGAGAGGTCCAGGGAGCCCACGTCCCTGCCCAGGGCATCTGGTGCGGGTAGGACAGTCCTCAGGAGACCAGGGGGCCTCACTAGGTCACAAGGCCCTTGTGGCCTTGGACTGATTTTCTAATCTCTGGGCATAAGTTTCCTTGGCGCCTCACAGAGATTGGATGAACCAGGGAGGAACGTGGCCAGCACCCAGCACCAGGCTTGGCATGAAGAGAAGACGGCTCGGTTGAAACCTCTGGAGGCAGAAGGGCAGACGCTTTTGTGTCCTCCCCCCGCCTTCTGCTTTGGCTGTGACGGTGGCCTCTGGGGAGCAGGGACCATCCAGCCCTCCTTCAAGGGTTGGGGCAGAGAGGAAGTACATTCTAGGATATGAACAACTCTTGTCTTCTATAAAATTCTCAGTGCCACAGGATGAGTCTTCTGTCCTGTGCTGGGAAATTTTAGCTCTCAAGTTCTGAAAACCTGTTGTGCTGACCCCTGTCGACAGCAGGAGTTTGTTGGGCTCTTGGGGCAGGAAGAGATGGTGGTGGGCATGTTCCTGGGCCACCGAGTGTTTCTTCCAAGCTGCTTTCCTCACAGAAGGGCGGGTGGGGGTGACGGTTCGAGGACCAGCCTCCTGCTGGTCTTCTCTGGGGCTAGGCCCGTGGTGGGCAAACGCATTAGTCAACAGAGCCAAATATCAATAGTACAACGACTGAAATTTCTTTTGACCTTTTAAGTTTTTTAAACTTAAACTTCTTCTAACGCCACTTCTTCAAAATAGACTTGCCCAGGCCGTAGTATTTTGTGGAAGAGCCACACTCAAGGGGCCAAGGAGCTGCATGTGGCTCTCGAGCCTCGGTTTGCCGACCAGGGGTCTAGAACATTGGAGAATGAGGGCCAGCCAAAGGCCACCCTCCCTGTGAGGCCTCCCAAAGACCCGTGCCCTCCTCCCGGTCCTTCCTGTACCTTGATCGGCCTCTGTGGCTCCTGTCATCTCTCTTCTATTTTTTTCTTTGTCTTAAAGAAAAAAATTCTTTTATGTTAAAAATTATACAATGACACCTATGTTGGAAATTATACAGTAAAATCTATATTTTGCAAACATTTGAACGTTTTTTAGTATTCCATTTTAATTTGTCTGTTAGGCACTTTAGAATTGATATCAGTTCGATTGTAATATAGAAGTCTTACTACTCTCCCCACTGTGTGCTATTCTTCTCTTACATGTTACGCCTTCAGACATGGACCATCCTGTGAGACAGTGTCAGAATCATTCTTTCAACTGTCAAACATTGTAAAGACTCCAGAGGAAAAAAATAGCCTAGTGGTATTTACCCAAATGTTTATCATTTTTCTTTTTCTTTCATTCTTGATGTTTCACATGTCCTGTTGGTATAATTTGTTTTTTGTCTGGAGAACTGCCTTTAGCAATTCTTTGAGAAGGAGTTGCTGGCAACAACTTCTCTACTTTTTCTTTATTTGAGAAGGTCTCACTTCACTTCTGAAGGACACTGACACTGGTCTCAATCCCTCCTAAAGGACAATGCCATTGAACCTGGATAGAGCTCTTGGTTAACAGTTCTTTCATCCCAGCAATTTACGAATGTTGTGCCACTTCCTTCTGGCACCCATTGTTTCTGGGGAGAAGTTTTCAGTCATTCAAATCATTGTCCCACTCTCATCCCCTAAGTAATGTCAAGTCATTGTCTCATCCCCAACCCCTTTTGTGGCTGCTTTTAAAAATGTTCTCCTTGCTGAAACCAGTTTGGCTCAGTGGATAGAGTGTTGGCCTGTGGACTGAGAGGTCCCAGGTTCAATTCTGGTCAAGGGCATACACCTTGGTTGCAGGCACATCCCCAGTAGGGGGTGTGCAAGAGGCAGCTGATCGATGATTCTCTCTCATTGATGTTTCTCTCTATCCCTCTCCCTTCCTCTCTGTAAAAAAATCAATAAAATATATTTTTAAAAATAATAATAAAAAAATAAAAATGTTCTCCTTCGTATTAAGTTTTCAGCTGTGTGATTATGATGTAGCTAGACAAGAGTTTCTTTAGATTTATCCTGCTACGTGGGTTTCCATGAATCTGTAAATTTATAGCTTTTACCCAAATTGGAGTGTTTCCAAGCCTTTATTTTCCCACATTTTCCCCTGCGTTGAACTCTTCCCATTGCAGAATGATGGCACCAGTGATAGACGCTTTGGTGTCATCTCACAGCTGCCTCAGGCTCCATTAATTTTCCTCCCATATGTTTTCTCCGTGTTCAGGTTGGATACACGTTACTAATTTATCCCCATGTTTGACTGACGTCTATCTTCTCCATCTGCTCTGGGACCCACCCACGGAATTTATTTCAGTAATTAATGATTAGTTCTAAAATCTCCATTTTGTTCTTCTTTGGGTCTACTTGCTGAGATTTTCTGTCTTCCCAGTTGTCTTGAGAATGTTTGTGCTTGCTTGTTAAAGCACACACACAGCGTAAAAGGGTTACAGAGCACAGTAATAAAGTCCCAATCTCGTTCTTCTTTCTCCTTTTCAATGCACTTGAACATAGTGGTCCTCAGAGCATACATCTAATTGTGAACCTGTTTTTTGTGGTGCCCTCCGTTTGGCAGGGCCGAGTCGAAGGCACTGGTGACACAGGCCCTTGGGAGGCCTCAGAGTGCCTGAGAAGAAAGACGGAAGGCCAGACCTCAGACTGGGTGGCAGTGGAGGCTGCTGGGGGCGGCTCTGCCCTCAGAAGCAGTCTGATGCCGCTGCCCCCCTGGCTGGAGGCTGTGGGCCTGGGTGGGGTGGGGGGAGGTTGTCTTGGGCCAGCTATGCCCCTGGCCCAGCACTGTCTGTCCTTGCTCACACACCCTCCCATCAGGAGAAGGAGCAGCAGCGCCTGGAGCACCTGCGGCAGAGAGAGGAGGCAGAGCAGCTCCGCAGGCTGAAGGTGGAGGAGGACAAGCGGCGGCGGAGGGAGGAGCTGAAGCTGTAAGTGGAGCAGCTCCCAGCCCCGTGCAGTCCGGGCCGCGCTGGGCCCCCCTGATCGCCCGGTGCTCACAGGAAGCGGGAGGAGCGCCTGCGCAAGGTGCTGCGGGCCCGGGAGCGGGCGGAGCAGATGAGGGAGGAGAAGATAAAGCAGATGGAGCAGAAGATCGCTCCGCAGGGTAAGAATGAGAAGGTGAGAGCCTTGGGCTGGCGGCCCTCCGGGTGTCAGTGGGCTGTTCCCTGCCGGGGCCCACGCCGGTCAAACTTGGTGGCCCGAGGATGAGAACTGGACCCCTCCCTGGGGAAGTTAGGGGTGTGACGCCCTGGACCCCTCTCGTCGCTATCCAGGGGCCCTGGAGTGTGTTCTGAGCCCGGCTGAGGGTGGGAGGTGGGAGTGGCAGCCCTTAGCGGTTAGGTGGGCTGACCTGGTGCCCCCTCCCCTGGCCTGTGCGGAACAAGCGGGCGGGCAGGGGCATGGGAGCCTGTCACAGTCCTGGGACCCGCTCTGCAGGGCTGAGTGAGGAGGGCTGCTGTAACGGGCAGGTATGGGTGGGCTCTACAGGCCAAGGAGGAACGACTGGCCGAGGAGAAGGCCAAGAAAGTGGCAGCGGCCGTGAAGATGGAGGAGCGCAGGAAGCAGGAGGAGGAGGCCCGGAGGCTCAGGGGTCCGCAACAGGTGCGAACCCAGGTGGCGTGTGGGCATCGAGGAGGGGGTGGGGCAGGATGGGCGTGGCCTCAGCCCCTGAGGACGGCTGGGCGTCCCCCACTTCGTTGGTTTCATCTGGTGGAGCTGTGGCTTCCAGCCCTGAGGAGGCTCCACCGATGCCTTGGCGATGGGGGTGGTGGCAGTCACTGCCTCTGTGTGTCTGTAGGGTGGCACTCTGAGGGTGAGGCACATGGACACTAAGCCAGACTCCAGTCTCCTTGCCTCTCACTCTCATTAGTCGTGTGGCCCCGCACAGGTTGCTAGACCTCTGTGCTTAGGTTCCTTCAGGAAGCCATGGTATCTACCTGACAGGGCAGTTGTGAGGGTGGGATGTTCTACCCACAAGAGTAGGGGCCTCCCTCCTCCTTGGAGCTGTCCATCTTGTGACCCCAGGGAACGCAAATCTGTCTTTGGGGTTACAACACGGATGGCTAAACTTGCTCAGTATTTACTCCGGGCCAGGCACTGGTCTAGGCATGTGTATAGACTCAGTAACGTTGTGAGCTGTAGGTAATACTGTTTTTGTCCCCATTTGAGCGATGAGGAAACCAAGGCCCGAGGGCTTAAAATGGTAGCCCAGCTTCACAGCAAGTGTGACTGGCTCCAGTCTGTACCTGTAATTGCTAACTCCGCTGCAGCCGCAAGATGCCTTTTCAGGCTGGGTGGTGATTGTGGCTCCTGGGGTGGGGCGACCCTCGCTCAGCACCTCACGATTTATGAAGCCTCGTGCCAACCTCCCCTCCTCCTTCCCAGACCTCTGGCCCCTGTGCAGCCCCAGCCTGGCCTGAGGCCCTCACTTTGCTCTGTGTTCACAGGAGGAGGAAGAGCAGCAAAGCAAGAAGGAGGAGGAGGAGCAGGAGCAGGAGCGTCTGCTGAAGGCGGCTGAACAGGAGCAGCGGAGGGAGCAGGAGCGGCTCCAGGCCGAGAGGTGAAGGAGCCCGAGGGCCAGGCTGGGGGGCCGGCCCCGGGGCCAGGGCGATGTCCAGCCACGTGTGTCTGTGTGGAGAGAGACGGCTCGGTCCTCAGAGCAGGTCCCCCTGCCCTTGGGCTTTGCAAAGAGGACACGCTTCCCCTGGCTCGGCTCCCAGAGGTCTGCGGCAGGCAGCCCCTGAGTGCGGTGCTGGCTCTGGGAGATGGCAGATGTGATGGGACTTGGGACTCCCTCAGTTCTACCTCCAGCCAGGGTGCTCTGCCCCTTTTTCACTGTGCCCTCAGCTGACATGGCAGGGCGGCGGGTTGCCCAGCAGGACCCCATGGGCCTTTGAGCAGGAGTTCTTTGGGTGCAGTGCGAACCCTCCCCTAAGTAGGCCTCCTCTGTGGTGATGAGAACTCAGACCCTCACCCCCTGCACCCCCGTCGTTTCCAACGGCCTCCCTTGGTATCCATGGCAGCAGAGCCTGGGGCTGCCGCTCTCAGAGGCAGAGGTCTCTGCAGTGGGTTCTGTGAGCCTCATTCTGGGGCCCACCTGTGCTTGGCTTGGGGATCCCAAGGAGGACAGCCACAGTCACCGCTGGCCAGGAGAGGTGAGATCTGTGCCGTGATGAGCCCGCTTGTGTGTAGGTGAAGGGAACGGTGCCCGTGTGTGTACAGAGGTGGGGATACCCAGACAGGCCTAGCAACTGCCTCTCCTGCCTCCACACGTGCCTGCCAGTCTTCAGGTGGCTCTGGGCCCAATGGGGGGTGGGAGCCAGGGGGCTGAACTGCATGGGGACCATCTCCCTCTGCTTTTTTAAAATTTTATTTTATTGACTTTCTATAGAGAAACAATTGATTTGTTGGTCCACTTATTGATGCATTCACTGGTTGATTCTTGTATGTGCCCTGACCTGGGATCAAACCCGCAACCTTGGTGTATCGGGACGATGCTCTAACCATTTGAGATACCTGGTCAGGGCCCCCTGTGCTTCTTGATGGACACAAAGTGTGCTGGTCCTGTGACAGAATCGTGGACAGGTGTCTGGGCGGGGGACAAAGGGCACAGGGGAGGGTGACAGTTGATGTGGTTTTAGAATTGCATGGGTGCCGCCCAGTGCCAGGGTCTTCATGGGGGTGATGGTGCGACGGTCATAAAGGTTGGCAGCTTGGGGGTTACTGAGCTACACGCTCTACCCGTGTTTCTTGTCGAATCCTCACTTGAAGGCCCTGTGGCACAGGAACCAGCAGCTCCACTTCCCAGAGTGGGGGCAGGTGCAGAGAAGTTAAATGCCTTGTTTAAGGCACGAACTAGTAAGTGGAGGTGGCTCCAAAGCCTCCAAACAGCCCAGCTCTGCTTCACGCCAGGCTTGGGGCCCAAGGTCCACCCTGTGGGCCGGGACGATCCGTGGTAACTCAGATTTTCTCATCTAATTCTCATGGTGGCTGGAGGAAAGGTGTCGGGATCCCCTTTGTACAGCAAAGGCAGAAGCTCAAATCTGTGGGGCCAGATTTGGTGGACTTCCAAGCTGCGTGCTCCCTGCACCCCGCTAGGCGCTTTCCAGCTCTTGGGACACAGATGCCACTGTGGGCTCTTGGCTGCTGTGCCCATTCTGCCATCCCGCCCTCTACAGCCAGTGCCTTGGGCCCAGCTTCCCTGGCAGGGATGGGAACTGAGCCAGGGCTCAGCTTCCCGCCATGACAGGCCTTTGCTTGGTCCTCAGGGAGCTGCAGGAGAGGGAGAAGGCCCTGCGGCTGCAAAAGGAAAGGCTGCAGAGGGAGTTGGAGGAGGAGAAGAAGAAAAAGGTAACAGGGGAACAGGGTGAGTGATGGTGGGTGATGGTGGGTGGTAGGTCTGTTCTGAGCTTTGGGCTGGGAGCCCTGATGTGGTGGCTCCTGGGGCAGGAACTCCTTGCTTGGCCATGTGGGTTTTGCCTGGGGGTTGGGGAGGGCACATTCACATACCCCATAACCCCCCTGGCTGGCCACTGGTCCTAGGAAAAGCAGCAGCACTTACCGGAGGAGCAGGAGAAGAAAGCTAAGGAGGCTGCAGCAGCCAGCAAAGGGCCAAACATGACCATGGATGTGCAGGTGAGTCCAAGCACCAGAGCAGAGAGGAGCCCCCAGCTCTGATTTATTCTCTTCCCAAAGCTGGAGGCACAGATCACATCTATTTGTAAGAATCATAAGAAAGAGGAAGGGAGGAACCAAGATGGTGGCATAGGTAAACACCAGACCAACACTCTACCACTGAGCCAAACCGGCTTCGGCTCCCCTGTTGTTTTTACATTGTACACTTCTACCTCAGCACTTGTAAATCTCTCATGTTTGAATGTTGTGTACCAGCTAGTGGTCTCAGACTTTCTTTAGCCAGTGCCTGTTGACAAGCAGTTAGGTGACTTCCAGTTTAATGCTTTACAAACAAAACACATTACGAGAAAGGGTTTTCAGTGCAGCATAGGTGAAGGTCTGAAAGCGGGAAGTTAGCTGAACGTTCACCTAGATGGATACTTCAAATCATGGAGCTGTTCACAGGAGACACGCTGATGCTGACATGGAAGTACTTTTGCAACTGTGTGCTTCAGGGCTGTGTATGTGGTGTGACTTTTACTGTGACCCCGAGCCTTTTGATTCTTCCTGTGGAAGGAGGGGAGGTGGCCCGAGCCGCATCTCCTCGGTGGTGGGAGCTGCAGGCGTAGGGAAGGGGGAGCTGACGCCCTTGTGTATTTTTCCAGTCTCCAGCTTGTACCTCACATCAAACGACGCCACGCGGGCCCAGGACTGCCCCCAAGATCCACCTGGATAACTACGGGATGGATCTGAATAGCGACGACTCCACTGATGACGAGTCCCAGCCCCGGAAGCCCATCCCCCCCTGGGCCACGGGTGAGCGGGCCGGGGCTCTGGGTCCTGGGTCCTCACTTGGGACTTCCGGGGCCCTGGGGGAAGTGGCGTGGCCGAGGCGGGTGTTGGGAGGCTAGAGACCTGACGTGTTGGCCTGCAAGCCTGCGCCCAGCCTTGGGACACGCTCAGAAGCGGGGACTGTCCGGTGGGCTCACCTGTGGAGCACGTGTTGGGCGCCTTTGTTCTCAACAAATGCATAAACAGGGGCTGGCTGCGGGCACCTGGTGCCGGGGTGCCAGCTGGGGAGGCAGGGGAGCCTCGAGGTGGGCGGGTACTGAGCAGGGTTTGACCCTGCCGTTGAGAGGCCCCAGGAGTGTGGGTGAGCGTGACTGCGGCCTCAGCCTGGGTGTGAGGCCTGCGGCCCTGGAGGGGCCGTGCATTCAGTGGTGCTCTGCAGAGTTTGCAGGGCTGGGGTCAGGGCGGCTGCCGTCTCCCTCCCCAGGCGTCAGCGCTCTGCAGAAGACAGCTTGCTCTTGTGAGTGCCACCTCATGTGAACCACACAGTAACCGGTATTGACTCAGGTCACTTGGGGGTGTCAGTTAGCCAGGAAGCCGGATGACTGGCCAAGCCACCTCATTCTAGCTGGCAGGAGGAGCGTGCAGTGAGCATTATCTGTGTTTGGCGGTGGGGGCGGGAGGAGCAGGCCTTAGAGGAGCTGGCCTGGCAGGAGGGGGGGCGGGAGTAGCATGCTGGTGTGCAGAGACAGGTAAGGGCTCTGGGTGGGGCAGGGGCACGGGGATCCCCAAGGCAGTGGCCCGGCCCTGTGTCCCCTGCAGGCGCCCAGCTCAGCCAGGCCATCCTCCACCAGTACTGCCACCCCCCGAACCTGCTGGAGCTCTTCGGCACCATCCGCCAGCTGGACCTGGAGGTCATCTTCGCGAAGAGCAAGCCGCGCTACCACCAGCGCACCAGCTCCGCCGCCTGGAGCTCGCCGCCCCTGCAGGGCAGCAGGGTCCCCGGCGGCCTGACCTGCAGCCTGAGGTTCTGAGGCAGGGCCCCCGCTCCTCTCCCATCTCCCTCGGTCTCGTGCCCTCCTCCCTGTGTTCCGTCCCGCAGGGTGGTGCTGTCCGTGTTCCGGTGGCCCCCGCCTGGGCGGAGACTGCGCTCCGCGTGTGTCTGCGCGGCTGCGGAAGCGCCAGGCGCAGCCACGCCTAGCTCGCAGGCGGTGCTTTGTGAACAGGTTGCTATAACTGTAGCCTGGACTTTGACAGTGTGTTAATAAAGTTCATTTTTTTAAGCCTGCCCTGGGTCTTGTGACCTGGGCCCTGGCCCCGCAGCCTTGTGTCTTGGGCCACCAGAGGGGCTGGAGGAGCAGGGCACTCCCTGCGCCTTGTCCTTGTGCTTCAAGGTCACCGGGGTCCCAGCCCCAAAGATGACGATGCGGTGGGGGACTGTGACACTGTCCCTGGGCGACTCTGAGGAACACTTCCGCCCTGGTGATGGTCAGGTGCGGACACTCCCGGTTTTCCTGGGGAGCACCCTGTTTGTAAGGGACGGTGCTTATTCACCCGGAGAGACCTGGGCTGCGGGGGGGGGGGGGGGGCCTGGGCAGTGGCCTCTCAGCCCCTCGCTGCACAGAGGGAGCCGGGTGAGCTGTTTCACGGGTCAGAAAGGGACGATTAGGAAGGAGGTGTGTCACTGCCTCGGGGATCCCCATGCCCCTGTCCCACCCAGAGCCCTTATCAGCCTCTGCACACCAGCATGCCCCCCCTCCTGCCAGGCCTGCTCCTCTCTGATGTCTCTTGAAACTACCTCGAGGCCAGGCTGGTGCTTGCCAGCCCTTGAGATGTTTCTCCAGTAACACCAGGAAGCTGCTAATGACGTGCTTCGTGCTGATGGAAGCTGGCTCCGGTCCTGCCCAGAGCTGCCAGCGCAGTTCTAAATGTGCTGTGCGAGGGCCGGCCCGCACCCTCCGCTGTCCCAGCCCCTGCAGCGGGCCAGCGGGCCAGCCCTGGCCACAGCAGTTCCCGCGGCGTCTGCCGGGAGCCCACGCCGTTTAAACGGCGCTGTCTCCGCTGCTCCGCGGGGGCAGAGGGAGAAGCTGTCACAGGCCTCATGGCCGCAGAGCTGGCAATACCGCGACCCTTTACAGAAAACACTTGCTCCTCTAGAACCAAACAAAGGACAAACTCAAGAGTGCTTTTTAAAAGGAGGAAATAGTGGACATACATGGTTGCCTGAAATCTAGAGGATTCCACTCACGCCAACTAAAACTTTTTACGCTGCATTTAAATTTGGTGCACAATTCAAATTTGTTCCATATGTTCTCTGACTAGAAATGTGTGTCGAGTCAACTGGAGAGTGTCTTTGCCTAAAGTCAAGATGTCAAAATATTACTTCCTGCCCTAGCCAGTTTGGCTCAGTGGATAGAGCGTCGGACTGCAGATTAAAGGGCCCTGGGTTCGATCCCAATCAAGGGCAGTTGGCTGGGTTGCAGGGTTGGTCCCCAGTAGGGGATGTGCAGGAAGCAGCCGATCCATGGTTCTCTCTATCATTGATATTTCTATCTCTCCCTCTCCCTTCCTCTCTGATATCAAAAGTATATTAAAACAACAACAAAAACCCAAAATATTATTTCCTGCAAACATATTTATATAATGTTTCGGAAAAAGTTATTACTCAGCGAAAAGGCAGTTCTAGTTCTGCATCTTTACCAGCACTTGATATTGTTAGTATCTCTTATTTTAGCCATTTTAATAGATGTGTAGTGGAATCTCATCATGGTTTTCATTTACATTTCTCTAATGGAAAGATGGATTATTTACCATCTTTGATGAAGTATCGAAATCTTTTGTTAATTTTTAATTTTTTTGCCTTTTTAATTATTTTTGTTCTTTTTCTAATGTTTTTTTTTTGGTTCATTTTTACACCGAGTCATTTTCTTACTGTTGAGCCTAGAACCTTTATGTATTTTGGGTACAAATTGGTTCTCTGTTACAGCATTTTGATTTGCAATATTTCCTCCTAAGTTGCAGCTTGTCTCTTCATTCACTTGACCGTGTTTTTCATAGAGCAACGATTTTTATTTGGGTGAAGTCCAGTTTATCAATTTTTTTTTTTTTAACGTGGGTCTTGCTTTTTGGTGGCATGTCTAAGAAATCTTTGTCTAGCCTTAGTTCTTGAAGATCTTCTATATTTTATTCCAAATGTTTTATAGTTTAACATGACATTTAGATTTATAATCTCTTTTGAGTTGATTTTTCAAAATGTGAGGGTTATGGTTTTTGTTTGGGGACATATGGATGGATGTCTGGTTGTTTTAGGACCCTTTCTTGAAAAGACTATTCTTTTCCCAAAGAACTTCTTTTGTATCTTTGTCAAGAATCAATTAGCCATTTTGATATAGGTTTATTTCTGGGCTTTGTATTCTCTTCCATTGGTCTATAAGTGTCACCTTTTGTCAACAGCACATGGTCATGATTACTGTAGCTGCTTGTGTCTTAAAAATCTGGTAGTGTGATTCCCACAACTTCATTCTTGCAAAATTATTTTGGCTTTTCTATCAGTTTTGCTTTCCTATGTAAATTTTAGAGTCAGTTTATCCATACAAAAGTCCTGCTGGGATTTTCACTGGAATTCAATTAAATCTATAGGATAAGTTTGGGGAGAGTTCACGTATTTAGGATGGGAATCTTCTAAACCATGAATGTGACATGTCTCCATTTATTTCTTTTTTCTTTTCTTTCACCAGCATCATGTAGTTTCAGCATACGGGTTCTTTACAATTTTTATTGGATTTAGAGCTAAGTAATGGTTTCTTGAAACTATTGTAAATGGTGTTGTTTTCCTAACTTTGGTTTCTGCTTGTTCATCGCTGGTATATGGACATACAGTTCATTTTTTGTCTGTTGATGTTGTATCTTGTGATGCAATGAAAGCAGTACCTAGAGGGAAAGTGATAGAACTAGATGCTATGTTAAGGGGGAAAAGTCTCAAATCAGTGACCCCAGCTTCCACGTAAGAAGAAGCAGAGCAGGGTGTCTGTGGCCATGCTGGTGCTGGTGGTTCCGCCGTGATCTGCAGCCCAGAAACTTCTCGGGAACTGCTGGCAGCGACTGCAGTGGATGCTTCAGCAAAGCCGGCCAGGCTTTCCCAGGCCTCCATGGGAACCAGCATTAGCGGTCTAAGGTCTGGCTATATTTACAGAATCAGCAAGTGATACTAATAGAAGTAAGGAGATTTCCAGCCTTTTGGATAGTATCTTTTGGATGGCAGCACTCAAAAAGAGACACAGCATTGAAGTTAACCGATGTAGGAGAAGAAACCCTTACGAGCTTATTGAAGTTAACCACAACATAGTCTTTGTCCTGAATGTGGTCGCTGAAACAGAAACATGTCCTTTGTGGCTATTGCTATGAGAATGTGCGCAAGGAGACTAAAGAAATCAGAAAAGAGAGGGGAAACTAGAAGGGGGCCCTTTTAAGGCTCCTACTGTAGAGACCCTGGTGCTGAACAGGGGAGAGACACCGTCTGAACAAGATCAGGGCAAGAGGACCATTGAACGGGAAAAGAAGCGACCACCCTGGTTCTCCCAGAATTGACACCAGAGATGGTTAAAAAGGGTAACTTAATGTAAAACATTGCTCCTGGAAAAGAAGAAGTTTTTTATTTTTATTTTTAATGTTTTGTGTCTTTTAAAATCATCAATATAGCTTAAAACATTCCATAAGAAGCTTTGTGCGGGTAATTTGAAGACGATATCAGGAATAAAATCTGAAAATGTTTGTGCGGAGGCTCTAGATTTATAGGTCTGTTTCTATTATAAGATTTTAAGTAAACATTAAATTTTCAGGACAAAACAATAAAATAATTTACAATTCATACCAAGAAAGAAAAAAAGAAAGAAAAAGCAGAGCAAATAGAAGTATAGGCAGAAGAGGAGAAATAACAAAGGTAGAGGAGAAATCAATGACACTGGAAAGAAAAAGTAATAGAAAAAATGTAACCCCAAACCTATTCTTTGAGAAGCTCTAGAATAATCCATACACCTGTCCAGACTGCACAGGATTAAAAGAAAGAAGTGACCAATGCCGAGAATGAGAGAGGTAAAGCCACTACATGTTCTCCAAATATTATGAACAACTATGGCAGTGATAAAATAATAAAATTTACCGTACAATACACGAGGAAAACAATGTGATTAATAAATGTTGAAGGTGCATTTGACAATTCACTTGCATTTGATTTATGATAAAAGCTCTAAGCAAATCATAACTTAAAGGGAATTTCCTTAGTTTGATAAAGCACATTTAGGGAACCCACAGGTTGAGAACCGCTGCTGTAGAGCCTAAGACCATTGGAAAACACAGATATTTACATTATGATTCACAACAGTAGCAAAATTGCAGTTATGAAGTAGCAACGAGAATAATTTTATGGTTGGGGGTCACCACAACATGAGGAACTGTATTAAAGGGTCAGGCATTAGAAAGGTTGAGAACCACTGCTCTGTTTATTCAGTTCATTAGGTTGGTTTATCATGTTGTGGGCAGCAAGCTACCAGTTATTCACCCTTGGCCTCCAACCGGCCGGAAATAAGATGAGAACTGTAGATGACCCTCACTGGGCCAGGGGCCTGCATTCTCAGATTCAGAATTGCTTTATCCTGCTCATCTTTCTGTTGCTACAGCTGAAGGTCTGTGAGTTACATGGCCTGACTCCCTTCCTCCTGCCTGCTTGGTGTTATCAGCCAGTGGTCTTTTTTTAAAAAAAAGAAAAGAAAAAATTGAATATATGAAGGAATGAGGTTGAGGCATCAACTAGAGAACTGAATTGAGTCAGAAATTGAGATGCAGCCGAGACCGATTTGGCTCAGTGGATAGAGCGTCGGCTTGCGGACTGAGGGGTCCCAGGTTTGATTCCGGTCAGGGGCATGTGCCTTGGTTGCGGGTACATCCCCGGTGGGGGGGGTGCAGGAGGCAGCTGATCGATGATTCTCTCTCATTGATGTTTCTGGCTCACTATCCCTCTCTCTTCCTCTCTGTTAAAAATCAATTAAAAATATATTTTTTTTAAAAAGTAAAGAAATTGAGATGTAAGCAGCTGAGCTAGATCTCAGATGTCATCCACTTCCCTTCCATCTGATATGTCACCACCACTGACACCCCGACTGAAAGTCCCACGTGGTTACGTGATCATCCACATCAATGGCCGGGCTGGACCTCGTGGCCTCCAAACTATACACAACTGAGCAAGCTTCTTACTTTCGGAAAGTTAGTTGACTCACGTGTTAAAATGGGAAATCTAATAGCTTACTGATCTGTAACAATGATTAAGTATGGTAAGTTATGTTTGCACATTGTCTGACCATTGTTAACAATAAAAATATCACTGTTAATTACCAGTATTATTATGAGGTACAGAATGTCACCCAAAGGACCTGTATGCAGGATGACAATGGTATGTTTGCAGTAATTTTAATGACTTTAGTTTAGTTTAGTTTTTGTTAGATCTCACCTGAAGATATTTTTTCCATTGATATTGTTTAGAGAGGGTGAAAGGGAAGAAGAGGGAGAGGGAGAAGGAGAGGGAGAGAGAGAGAGAGAAAGAGAAACCTCTGTGAGAGAGAGACACTGATTGGTTGCTTCCTTCAGGCACCTGGACCGGGGCCTGGGACACAATCCTGCAACCCAGGTGTGTGTCCTTGACTGGGAATCTAACTGTTTATTCTCTAATGCCCAGGCCAAGACTCTTACCACTGAGTACCACCAGCCAGGGCTCAATGCCATTGTTTTACTGAAAATTATACATCCCCCCTCCAGCCCCTGGCAAACACCATCCTACTCTCTGTTTCTATGAATTTGCTCTAGAAACGGTGTGTATAGGAGTCATATATTACTGTCTTTCTGTGACTGGCTCACTTCTTGCAGTGTACTGTCCTCCAAGTTCACCCATGTTGCAGCATGTGACAGGTCTCCTTGCTTTATAATGCTGAGAACTAGCAACATCCCTCTACGTGTATGAACCACACTGTGCTTACCCAGTCACCGGCCTGTGGACTCCTGGGCTGCTAACAGCTCTTGGCTATTGTGAATTATGCTCCTGTAAGATGGGTATGCAAGGATGTGTTTGAGACACTGTGTATATACGTGGAGGTGAGTTTGGTCACATTATAATTTTACGTGTAATATTTTCAGGGACTTCCAGACCCATCCTTGAGTGGCTGCACCAACTCATGTCCTCACCAGAAATGCACAAGTGTCTCTGTTCTCTACATCCTTGCCAACACTTGTAATTTTCCTTTGTTATTGTGTTTTATTATTATTTGGACAGTAGCCATCACAATGGGTGTAAAAAAACCATGTGATATTGACTTAAGGTCTGAGTCACAGATAGGAGGCACCAGGCAGAACATGCAGTGGTGTCACCTCACCCGCTGGCTCTGCACCAGAGGTCCCGGCAACAGGGAGACGCTCCTTGGTTTGGCCCATCCCATCTCTCCAGCCACAAAGCTTCCCAGTCCCACTGGGCTCCCCTGGTGCTTCGGGTAACACGGTTCCTGTGTGTCCTACCAGCCTCATGGTCTATGGTACGTTGGCTTCCCTCACGCTGTTCCCTCGGGTCGCTCCTCCTAACTTCTGTCATGTCCAAATACTGTCTGTCCTGAGTGGCTCTTGAGTATGCTCCCCTGACACCAGACTGCTTCCTGCCTGCCCCTGCGTGCCTCCTGCATGCCCCCCTACTGGGGATTGAGCACAAAACCCCTGCAAGTGCCCTAACTTGGATTCAAACTAGCCATCTCTTGGTGCAGGGAACAACACTCAACCAACTGAGATATACCAGCAGGGTCATTTGTTGTTTCTTATATGGGCCCTGACCCGAGATTGAACCTGAAACCTTGGCTCATGGGGATGACATTCTAACAACTGAGCTACCTGGCCAGGGCTGAACAAATATATATATATATAGTGGCCAGATTATTGTGATCTCTGAATGCATAATAATGTGGCCACTCAGTGTGTGTGTGTGTGTGTGTGTGTGTATGTGTATGAATTTGTGCATGAGTGGGATCCGGCCAGCTTGGCCAGTGGGAGTGAACATGGGCGGTTGGCCAGCCTGCTTGCTGGTCGAATTCCTGGTTAAGGGGACAATTTGCATATTAACCTTTTATTATATAGGATATACACTGAGTGGCCAGATTATTATGGGTTCAGAGATCATAATAATCTGGCCACTCAGTGTGTGTGTGTGTTTAAAATTGATTGTGTGTGTGTGTGTGTGTGTGTGAGAGAGAGAGAGAGAGAGAGAGAGAGAGAGAGAGAGAGAGAGAGGGAGAGGGAGAGAAAGAGAAAGAGAAAAACATCAATGTGAGAGAGCAACATTGATCAGTTGCCTCCCATATGGGCCCAACTAGGGATTGAACCCAAAACCTGGGTGTGTGCCCTGAATGGGAATCAAACCAACCCATCAGTGTCCCAGAGGACATTCCAATCAACTGAGCCACACCAGCCAGGCTGAGCAAATTCTTTACATTTTAAATTACTCAGGTGCTGTTAAATGCTAGGGATATGATGGTGTACAAAACTGGGCACAGTCCCTGACTTCATCAAGCTTATGTTTCTGGTAAAACCTGCTAGTGACTAGTGATCTTATAAATAATGCATATTGATATTTTAGAACTTTCTTTTTTTTAAAAAATATATATATATTATTGATTTTTTTAAAAGAGAGGCAGGAAGAGGGATAGAGAGTTAGAAACTCGATGAGAGAGAATATCGATCAGCTGCCTCCTGCACACCTCCTGCTGGGGATATGCCTGCAACCAAGGTACATGCCCTTGATTGGAATCGAACCCGTCAGTCCACAGGTCAACGCTCTATCCACCAAGCCAGACAGGTTAGGGCAACTGTTTCTGTTTTTAAAATATATTTTTTGTTGATTTCAGAGAGAGAGGAAGAGAGAGAGAGAGAGAGAGAGAGAGAAACATCAATGCTGAGAGAGAATATTTATTAACTGCATCCTGCATGCCCAACATTGGGGATGGAGCCTGCCTTGACTGGAATTGAACCGTGACCTCCTGGTTCATAGGTTGATGCTCAACCACTGAGCAACACCAGTCAGGCTCCATTGATTTTTAGAAATAAGTGTGGATAGGAGGGACAGGTGAGGGGGAAGAGAGAGAGAAAAAAACATCAATTGGAGAGATCGAACCTGCAATCCAGGTATGTGCCCTTGACTGGGAATTGAAGGGTCATACACCTCAGATCCTCTGGTGCATGGGCTGATGCTCTACCCACTGAGATCACCAGTCAGGGCTCTCTAATAGTTTTTTTTTTTAATCTTAAAATGAGAGAGGACAAAGAAAAGGAACTGTCCAATTAATAAATATTCTGACTATTATCCCCACAGTCTCACGTTTTTTGAAGTCCTAGATTTAATCATATGAAATTGCCAGTATCAACTATTTGAAAAGATTCATAATTAACCTATTGAAACAGCCATTACATATGGTTCAACCTAATTGTTGCATTTCTATTGGGATCATATGAATTATTTATGTTAGGAATAGCTGAAGGAAACATACATTTGGAAAATACAATATAATCAATGCATACTATTCTAGATATGCATAGAATCCAGACTAGTATTTCTTACTATATTATGCTGATTTTCTGTTGTTTTTTAATATTTTTTTATTTTTAAAATATATTTTTATTAATTTTAGAGGGAGAGGGAAGGAGAAGGATAGAGAGAGAAAAACATCAATGAGAAGGAGACATTGATTGGCTGCCTCCTGAATGCCCCCACTGGGATCTAGCCTGCAACCTGAGCATGTGCCCTGACCCGGAATCAAACTGGGGACCTCTTAGTTCATGGGTCAACGTTCAACCACCAAGTCAGACTTAAAATGTTTTAATTGATTTTCGAGAGGAAGGGAGAGGGGGAGAGAGAGAGAGAGAAACATCAATCAGCTGCCTCCTGCATGCTCCCCACCAGGGATTGAGCCTGCAACCCGGGCATGTGTCATGACCCGGAACCAAACCAGTGCGCTTATGGAGCATGAGATGATGCTCAACCAACTGAGCCACACAGGCCAGGGCTATGCTGGTCTTATGGGCCAGAGATGCTATATGATTTGGTTCCTGTATTTCTTTAGTGTCTGGCAAAGGACAACTCTACTTGAAAATTTAGTTAGGATATTCCCTGTAATTTTTGACCGAAGTGTTTGTTGTTCTAGGAGAGAAGAACATACTATCAGCTGGCATTGAGTGTGTAGATAAATAATTCTCCAGAGTTGTCTGTCTTTTCCCCTGTTTTCCAGTGAGTTAAATCAAGGAGTTGAGAGGCCACACCTTCCCAATTTCTAGTTTTAGGCCAATTCCGTTATTCCATCCCACATCAGAAGGGGGCAGGGGTAGGCTATTCTTTGTTGATTGATAACTGCTCTTTTAAGTTTTCTTGCTTAAGGAAGGAGATATGTTAAACAATTTTTTTTTTAATGTTTTCTTTTACTTCTTCCTGAGGAATTCTCTCTTTACCATGAAATAGATTCAACCTTTTGGTTTATTTCCTTAACTTAGTCTTCTGGACACACAAATTAGTCAGTGGGAGGAAAGATAATCCACAGAGAATGTTAGTAGCTGGGAAAAAGTGTTCTTGGTCCTAATGTACCTTGTTCATGTCTCTGAGCCACAGTCAGAGCTTCAGTAGCAAACTGGCCCTGTCTCTGCTTTCGGACGCGTGCACCACACCAGCCTGGCTGCAGCTGGATGTTAGGGTCTAGCACGTATGCAGGTAGTAGGATCTTCTGGTATGCAAACATCTTTCGACATACAGGTTAGGGTCGATCTAGCCAACTCCTTTACCTGAGACACTTCTTTAAAAATGTTAGGGTTTTTTTCTGGACAAATCACGAACCAGTCTGTGACAAACCAGAGGTACAAATGTCTCTAAGAAAAGTTTCAAAAAATTTTTTATTTTATTTTTTTCACCTCAAAACAACTCTGAAGTTTTAGGCCCATGGGAACCAAAAATTCGAGAGGCATTGACTAAATCTAGAAAAATGTGGGCACTAAAATGGGCAAAGCAGATGGGGGCAAAGTAAACACACTAGAAGAAATAGGATTTCCCCTTCCTCTCATATACTTCCTGAATCTAACCACAGAACTCCATTGCCTTCTCTATCACTTCCACAAAACTCCATAATTAAAAAAATACACTTACCAAAGCCCGGCCAGTGTGACTTAGTGGTTAAGCATCGACCTATTAACCAGGAGGTCCCGGTTCCATGCAGGACAAGGAACGTGCCCAAGCTGCAGGCTTGATCCCCAGTGTGGGGCGTGCAGGAGGCAGCCAAACAATAATTCTCTCCCATCACTGATGTTTCTACCTTTCTCTCCCTCTCTGAAATAAATAAAAATATATTTTTAAAAATACACTTATCAGTGCTCGCTTCAGCAGCACATATACAAAAGGAGTTCATCACCGCCAAACCAGTATTACTATATGAAATGCTGAAAGATATTCTTTAAGAAGAGGAAGAAGAAGAAAAAGGTAAAGATAAAAATTATGAACCACAAATACATATCAACAAGTGAATCTAAAAATCAAGTGAATAAAAAACTGATGAACAGAATAAACTGGTGAATATGATAGAATCAGGGGCATAGAAAGGGAGTGGATTGACAATTCTCAGGGGGTAAATGGGTGTGGGGGTGTAGGAAGAGAATGGACAAAAATTATACACCTATGGATGAGGACAGTGGGGGTGGGGGGTAAGGGCAGAGGGTGGGAACCGGGTGGAGGGGAGCTATGGGGAGAAAAAAGGAACAATTGTAATAATTTGAACAATAAAGATTTATTTTAAAAAATATACTAAAATTGGAACAATACAGAGAAGATTAGCATGGCTGCTGCACAAGAATGACCTGCAAATCTGTGAAGCGTTCCATATTTTCAGAACCAGAAACATAGAAACATCAAACAGACTGTCAAACCTCAGAGGGAAGGCAGGAGAGGGTGGGGGGAGAGAGTTCAACCAACGACCTCATATGCGTATATGCATAACCCAAGGACACAGACAGTGGGTGGTGAAGGCTTGGAGGGGGAAAGGGAAAGGGGAGGGTAAGGTGGGGGAGGAACATATGTAATACTTTCAACAACAAAGATTTATTAAAAATAAAAAAAAATAAAAATACACTTATCAGAATAAAGGATATAGTTTCAATCTTGTTGGTGTTCTTTAACATAATTCATTTTTGTTGATTTCAGAGGAAGGGAGAGGAAGAGAGAGAAATATGTGCCCTGACTGAGAACTGAAACGTGACATCCTGGTTCATAGATTGAAGCTCAACCCCTGAGCCATGCTGGCCAGGCTACTTAACTTTTTTTTTTTTTTTTTTTTTTAAGGATTTTAAAATCTTAATTGGTATTTAGAGAGAGATGAAGGGAGAGGGAGAAAAAGAGAGAAACATCAATGTATGAATGAAACATGGTTGATCACCTGCCTCCTGCACACCCCCTACTGGGGTTTGAGCCCAAAACCCAGGTACGTGCCTTCACTGGCAACTTAGTGGTGCATGAGATGATGCCCAACCACCGGAGCCACACTGACATAATTAACTTTTGACATCTGTTCACAATCTGGGTCATTTTACTTTTATGGCTGTCACCTTAGGCAGACTGTAAAAGCCTAGAGTTTTGTATTAGTTCGTGGGAAATAAAATGTATGTGATACTGTCTACTTTCAGAGCAGAGAAATGGTGTTAAATCTTAGGAGGCAGGAGAATCTCACCATTTTCCCACATGCATTTCTATTAGAATAATAGGATGCTAGAAAAAATGGGAGCTAAGGTGTCTTATATCTAGTATGCTTTGGTGTTCTGTATTATTGTGTTTTCTTTTTTTCTAGAGAAAGAGATGGTTCATCGATTTCCATGAGAGTAAAAGTTATGAAATAAATTTCTGAATAATCAGTTTGTTTGGAAGGCAGAGAATGAAAATAAATTGCATTGGATGGTTCCTGAAACTTATTTGGTATTTCCAGTTATAAAGTTTAGCCTGCCTAGTTCTCATATACTTTTTTAATTTAAATTATTTATTGTTTAAAGTATTACATGAGTCTCCCCCCCCCCCTCCCCCGCCCATTGACCTCTCCCCGGCTGCTCCCACCCCAGCACGTACCCTCACCCCACTGCTGTCTGTGGCCATTGGTTATGCTCATACGCACGCATACAGGTCCTTTGGTTGATCTCTTACCCCCCTCACTGCCCCCCCCCCCCGCCACCTTCCCTCATAGGTTGGACTCTGCTTGATGCTTCTATGTCTCCAATTTGTTCATTAGTTTATGTTGTTCATTATATTCCACAAATGAGTGAGATCATGGGATAGTTATCTTTCTCTGGCTTATTTTGCTTAGCATACTGCTCTCCAGGTCAATCCATGCTGTTGCAATTGGTAAGAGTTCCTTCTTTTTTATATTAATAGCAGCGTAGTATTCCATTGTATAGATGTACCATAGTTTTCTAATCCATTCATCTGCTGATGGGCACTTAGGCTGTTTCCAAATCTTAGCTATTATAAATTGTGCTGCTATGAACATAGGGGTGCATATATTCTTTCTGATTGGTGTTTCTGTTTTCTTGGGATATATTCCTAGAAGTGAGATTACTGGGTCAAATGGAAGTTCCATTTTTAGTTTTTTGAGGGAAAACAGTATGGAAGGCTTCACAAATTTGTGTGTCATTCTTGGGTAGGGACCATTCTAACCTTCTCTGTATTGGTCCAATTTTAGTATATATGCTGCCGAAGTGAGCACTAATATAATCTTTAAAAAAAAATTTTTTTTAAATCGTCACCCAAGATATGTTTTTTATTTATTTCAAAGAGAAAAAGGAAGAGGGAGGAAGGGAAGAAGGGAGAGAGAGAGAGAGAGAGAGAGAGAGAGAGAGAGAGAGAGAGAAGAAGAGAGAGAGAGAGAGAAATATGATGTGAGAGAGAAACATTAACTATTTGTCTCCCTTATGTGCCCTGACCTGGAATTGAACCAGGTTTCAGGTGTAGGATTTTATAATACACCTTTTGGTATATGGGGCTACACTCCAGCCAACTGAGCAACACTGGCCAGGGTCTTTTTAGAAAATTGTTGGACTTCGTCCTGTGCACCAAAAGGTTGTTGGTTCAAATCCCAATCAAGGGCAGATGCTTGGGTTTCGGGCTGGATTCCCAGTACGGGGCATGCAGGAGACAGCTGATTGATGTTAGACTCTCACATCAATGCTTCTCTCTTTTCCTCTCCCTTCCTCTCTCTCTCTAAAAATTAATAAACCATTCCTAAACAAATTTTTAATTAAATTTATTGGGGTGACATCCTATCTAATAAAGGGGGAATATGTTGACCTTCACACCATTGCAAAGATGGCAGTGCCCACAGCCAATAAGGAGGGAATATGCTAATTTACTCTCCCGCCCTCAAAGATGGCGATGCCCACAGCCACAAGATTGTGGTGCCCAGTTCCCTCAGCCCCACCGGGGAAACAGGTGCAAGGCAAGGTTCAGACACGTGAAATAATTCTCCCAGCGTCACTCGGCTTGTGAGTGACAGGACTAAACCAGAACTTAGATTTTATTCCAAACACTAATAATGTGGGTATGACCTCTCCTTTGCTAATGAGTGAATTAGAGAGGTTTACTACTTGGCGTGAAGTCACATGAATGGTGAGTAAACAGGGGTGTCAGGATTCGAACTCATGCCTACTTCTCTCTAAAACTCATCGTTTTAACTGTTTTCAGTTCTAAGATACTATTAAGCATGAAAGAATGCAACAAGAGAACACGATGCATTGAGACTATTAGAATTTTTTTTTAATCATGTTAGATTGACTGCCATTGTAAATCCCATTATAAACCAGGCCCTAAAGGTTAAGGTTTTTGAACTATCTCTTAGGTTACAGAAGAACACATTAACGAGGGGCCTCGATAGCCAGGATAACTTGGTTGTATAAGGAACGAGAGTCTCGGAGGGTAGGAAAGGGCTTTAAAAAAGGTATTCCTGAGGATGCCTCTGAGCGCAGTGGCCGCCGCTCCCAGTCTCTGCTGCGTTTCCCACATGGAGCCGTCCCGCCCTTCCTGTGTCCCCTGAGCGGAGCGGCACTTCCTGTCCTCTGGGAAATGAAAGTGAGGGGTTGGGGGATGCTATGTGTGTGTTTACCCTGCAGAATGTTCGTACTGTCTGTCCTGTTATCACAGCGGGAAAAAAAAGGGACAGGAAAACCGAGACTGGGACTTCATTCCCGGGAGAGTCTGGGCTGAACGGTGGTTGTGGCAAAGCAGACAGGGTTGGCGTGTCTGAGGAGAATTCCGTGATGGCAGCCCCGCGGCCCGGAGAAGGGGTGTGAGGCTTTCATGCCCATCCCTGTGCCACCGGGGCTGGCGGGCGCTCCTGGGCAGCGTCCTGGCCTCTCTGGCTTTCCACACGGGTCTTCTTCTGTGGAGGGCAGTCTGCAGGGCCTTCCCTGGATACTCAGAGGTGAGTGTCGCTGCCTCTGTGTGAGGTTGTTGACTCCAAATGTGTGTTCTTGCTTCCTAAGAACTTTATATTTTTATTCTTGGTGAAGCATCTGCTTTTTAAATAGTGTTTTGTTTTGTGTGTTTTTTTCTACCGCTCAGAGACAACCTGAAGCAAACATCTCTGTGAACTTCAGTGTGGGCATCAGTTCCAGGTGTGGTGAGTCCCTCTGGTTGTCTCAGCTTCATGGACGGTGGAGACTAGGAAACAGTGAGATAAACAGTCAGATAAGAAGGCATGAGGCATTGTTTCCTGGAAAGCCAGGGGGAAGGAGAGACACGAGGTGCTGAGTTTTATGACACAGTCCGGTCTGGCTATTCCTCCCCAGGTATGAAGTCATACCTGCAGGAATCTGAAAGGCAGTGAGGCATCCGCCCACGAGCACGAGGAACAGAACTGCCCAAGGACAGGGAGCTAGTCATTTCCCATCTTCCGTTTTGCTTTCCCCTGTCCTTTGGTGAGCCTCCTGTTTGTTTTCTCTTCATGTGCTCAGGTCACTGTAAATATAAAGGGTGTGTGTGTGTGGGGGGGGGGGGTCCTGAGCTTGCCTCACATGTTCTTAGTATGGTTTTCTTCACACGTTCTCCAAGGTAGGGTGTCCGTGGACAAGCCGGGGGTCTTGTAGCTGGTATCTAAGGGGAAATAATCCTCATGGTCTTTTCATGAGTCAGAACTTGTTCATGGAGGAAAGGGGGTGGAATAGAAAGGGCAGACCTAAGAACTTTTCTTTTTGCTTGAACTGCTAAGCCTGTGAAAAATTAAAAAATAACATCTTGGGCATTAGGACCCAGTGGTAGTGTCTCGTTCAGACTCTGGGTTAACTTCTCCCAGTGACGTCAACAGGCAGCCCAAGCTCATTCTTTACCCCCACCCCTTCATTTTTCTCCCTCTTGCTCCTTTTCTCTCCCTTTCTCCTCCCCCTCACTCTACTCTCTCCCTCCCTCCCTTCCCTCCTTCCCTCCCTCCCTCTCTTCCTCCCTCACCCTCTCCCTCTCCCCCTCTCCCTTTCTTTCCTTTTCTCTCTCTCTCTCTCTCTCTCTCTCTCTCTCTCTCTCTCTCTCTCTCTCTCTCTCTCTCTCTCTCTCTCCTGCTCCCTCTCTCCCTCTCTCTTCCCTCCCTGCCCCTCTCCTCTCTTAGCTCCCTAATATTGAAGAGAAAATGCTGTTCTCAGTGACTTCCAGGCCTGGGATTTCGACTTTGGGCTACAACAAGAACCACAAAAAGGTAGGGAAAGTGCTTTTTTTTTTTGATCCAGCTACTTCCTTTTCTGGGATCCGGGAGTGCTCCTGGCTTCCACATTCTCCTAAAGTCAGGAAAGGGATTCCTTCTCCCATCTCAGCCCCTCTCTTTTCTGCCCCTTTCTGGCATCTTTTCTCACCTGGCTCTGAAGTTCCAGGAATTTGCCGTCTTTGTAAGTGAGGCCTGAGGAGGCAGGGGAATTAAAAACAAGTTTTTATCTTTGAGGAATGAAGTTAGTTTGACTTCCTGCTGATAGACCTAATCTCCACAGGGATCCTATGTCATCTCAGACCCTGGCCCCTGGCCCACCCCCCTCCAATACTATTTTCTTCTCGATTAACTGTTTCTATTCTGAAACACCCACCTTCCATCTGACCAGCACTATCAAGTAGCAGAAATATAGTTGGTGAGATCACAACAGTTTCATCAAGCACTGGATGTACTTTTCTAGACGAGACCTTGCCCGCCCAGCCTGAAGGGAAGGGGCCTTCAGAGAAGACACACTTCGGGGTGAAGGCAGAAAGGTCTGTGATTCGGGGGTGCCGGTGCCGGTGCTGTGAGATCTGGAGATAGCCAGGCTCAGCGGGCCCTTTGGGATTAACCAGAGGCCACCACGTTATCTTTGCTGGGGCCCACAGGCCCTCCGGAGAGAGGTGGACATCATGCCCACATTTGCCAAGGAATATCCGTGGCAGGTTTTTTTAAATTTTGTTTTGTTTTTTTTGTTTGACATTTCAGGGCATACAATGCTGATGAGAGGGAACTTCACGCTGTAAGAGAAAGACCCTGTACCCTCTCTCAGTGCTGTAGCTGTTCTTTGAAGAAGATGATACTGTAGACAGTTAGGGAGCTTTTGATCATCTGTGGAGTGTTGGAAGAGGGGAAGGATTGCTGCTGCTTCCTCAGAGACCCAGAGAGATATGACAGGTGGATTCACACAGTGTGTGATCCAGGCAGTGGGCAAAATGTTAAACCCAAGACATTTAGCGTCAGTTTATGGGTGTTAGTTTATATGGTGTTTATTCTGTTTATATCCTTGAAAAAATATGGGTCTGTTGTCGGTTATTTACATGCACACAGATTTATAACACACGCACACACCTTGTATATGATTTTGATAGAGGGATAGTTCATCTGTCTTTAGTCTTCTCAAATCTTATATAGAATGAGATGAAAATTTCCTTCCTAATTTTCCCCTCCAAGTCTCTTCAGTTAACCAGACCCATTAAAATTAAGTAAAGTGAATTACAGGAATTAGTGTTTTTTTCCCACCTCTGAGGGGTTTCATGATGCTATCTAAATCTCTTAGCTGTCTACTCCCTCCTCTACTTGTAGTATATAAAAAAAATTAACCATCTTCTAAATCTAGGCTAGTGTAGGGGACAAAGAGGTATGCTTATGGGTTTGTATTTAAATCTTATATCTCTTCTTGATAACTTGTAAGGTTTGAGAAGCAGTTCAGGAAACATTGGCGGGTAGGGGGGGATAAATACATACTTACTAATATATTTGTCAAGAATTCTTTGGGTTCGTACACATCAATGCTATGATGATATCACTTCGTGACTATGTATATGATTCTTGTGTGTATGTGTAGCTTTGTGGCTATTTGATATATTTAGACCAAAGCATTACTACATTGTTCTTTGTTTTTGTGATGAAATATAAGATTTAATGTGTTCACTTTTCTTTTGGGGAGAGTGTTCTGGATGAATTTGCTCATGTAATTTGTGCATTTTTTGTCTGTGTGTTAATCCACACATGAGGATATTTTTTCCATTGCTTTTCAGAGAGAGTGGAAGGGTGGGGGTGGGGGGGAGAAACATCGATGTGAGAGAGACACAGAGACACATCTACTGGATGCCTCCCCCACCGCCTGAGGGAGGGGGTGCCCTTGACCAGGGAATTGAATCCTCAAACCCTTGACCCTTCAGTATGCACACTGATGCTTTAACCACTGACCTCACCAGCCAGGGCTAGTTTGTGCATTTTATACCCAAGGTATAATTTTAAAAATAACTTAGTAGTTTTTAGTAGTAAATATAAGACATGCCAATTTTTAAAAACTTAAGCATAAAGAGGTATTTAAAATTGAAAGTCAAGACCTCCCTTCATGTCCTGAAGTTTATTACCCAAATCTCACCCTCAAGGAAAATAACTGGCAGCAGTTTGGTATATGTATCCTACCAGGCTTTCTATGACAAGGTGAAGTTATAATTTTATGTTGGCTTATTTGCCATTTCTATTAAGAATTCAGTTTCTTGCCTGGCTGGCATGGCTCAATAATTGAACATCGACTGTGAACCAAGAGGTCACGGCTCCAGACGTGGTGGCGGGCTCTTTCCCCATTGTGGGGAGTGCAGGAGGCAGCAGATCCATGGTTCTCTCTCACCATTGATGCTTCTATCTCCCTTTCCCTCTCCCTTCCTCTCTGAAATCAATAAAAATATATTTTTAAAGGAATTCAGTTTCTCAAGTAGAACCAGTCCAGGTAATAAAGTTCTTGAGCATGTCAGAAATGTTTTAAAAATTGAAAGAACAATCAAACTCTAAACTTCTGAAAAAGTACAAATTATAAAATATCTGCTTTAAACAAAAACACACAGAGACCAATGGGACGAGATTGAGAGCCCAGAAATAAACCTACACATATATGGGCAATTAATTTACAATAAAGGAACCAAGAATACACACTAAATGTGTTGGGAAAACTGGACAGCCACATGCAAAAGAATAAAACTAGAACACTATCTTATACCACACACAAAACTCAACTCAAGATGGATTAACGACTTGAATGTAAGACCTGAAACAATAAAATATGTAGAAGAAAACATAAGTACTAGGCTTCTGTACGATGGTTCTCAGTGGTGTTTTTTGAATTCGACTCTAAAGGCAAAAGAAACAAAAGCAAAAATAAGTGAAATGGGTCTCCGTCCAACTAAAAAGCTTCTGCACAGCAGAGGAAACCATCAACAAGACAAAAAGGCAACTACCCAAATGAAAGAAGATTTTTTTCCTTTTTTTGGAGATAATATTTCCAATTAGAAGTTAATACCAAAATATATAAAGAACGCGTACAACTTGCTCACGTCGGCAGCACATATACTAAAATTGGAATGATATAGAGGAGATCAGCATGGCTCTTGCACAAGGATGACACGCAAATTCATGAAGCATTCCATATTTAAAAAAACAAAAACAAAAACTCATACAACTCAACAGCAAAAAAAATAAATAATTCGAATAAAAAAATATCTGACTAGATATTTTTCAAGCAAGACATGCAGATGGCAAACAGACATATGAAAAGATGCTCAGCACCGCTAATTATTAGGGGAATGAAAATCAAAACAACACATGTATAATTCCCAATAAAGGCAGAATTTTCCCCCCTCAGGGTGTAGTATTTTTATTTGTTTGTTTGTTTGTTTGTTTGTTTGTTTGAATCCTTACCTGAGGATATTTTCCCACTGGTTTGTAGAGAGAGTGGAAGGGAGAGAGAAAGACAGAGAGAGAAACATTGATGGGAAAGACACATCGATGGGTTGCCTGTGCACACACCCCGGCCAGAGCTGGGATGGTGAGCCTGCAGCCTCGGTGCATGCCCTGGACTGCAACTGAACCGGGACCCTTCAGTCCCCAGGCCCGATGCTCTTTTTGCTGAGCCAAACCGGCTAGGGCAGGATGCAGTGCTGAATATCTATTCCTTTCTTTGGAGTTAAAATAGTCACAGAAGGGGGGAAATGTGGATTTCAAAGAGATTTTCTGTAAAATAATGTGGTAAATTAAATCTGTTTTAATAGTCTTCAATTAATCTTAGTTCATTAAAAAAAAGAAAAAGAAAAGAAAGGCTGAAGTAAAAAGATATGTGTTCTAGGCTCTCAAAACTGTTTCTTCAATGTTGGAAAGAGTTGCCTCAGTAGAGATTTGAAGGTAGGTGAGATTGAAAGAGGAAATGTTCGGGACTAAAGGAATTTCAGACTTGTAAAGGGCTTAACCACGCCTCCCCTGACATCATCTTCCTGGAATGTGTTATTATATTTTAACTCCTCAGAGCATCAACAATCATTTCCTTTGGAAAAAAATAAAAGGGACTGGGATAATTTGCCTTTCCCAACCTATTTTGCATAAATTTCTGTTTTCTCTTGATCATATATTGAATAATCAATGGAGAGTGGGAGGCAATGATGAGAGTAAGCCGGACTGGTGGGAACCCTGGCTTAGTTTGGATCAGTGGATGGAGGGGACCTAGGTTCAATTCTGGTCAAAGGCACATGTCTGGGTTGTGGCCTTGATCCCCAGTAGGGGGTCATGCAGGAGGCAGCCTATCAATCATCTCTGATGTTTCTCTTTCTCTACCTCTTCCTTCCTCCTTGAAATTCTCTCTACCTCTTTCTTCCTCTTGTAGAGGCCTGGTGCATGAATTTGTGCACAGGTAAGGTCTGGCCAGCCCACCCTGATTGGGGCTAATTGGGCCGGACTGGCAGGGGGGAGGGGACATGGGCGGTTGGCCAGCACTGCTTCCTATTGGGGTGAGGGACCAATTGGGGGTGGGGCCAGCCAGGGAGAGGGGCTTCAGGCAGTTGGCAAGCCGGTCAAGCAGTTACTCTCTGTCGAACTCCCAGCCGAGGGGACAATTTGCATAATGGCCTTTTATTATATAGGATAAAGGCTGACTGGTGGGCTTTGCCAAATCTTTACTCTTTCAGAAACTTGAGTTACCTGAAATTTTCAGAGTTTACTCAAGAGAGAAGAAAATGAGAAGCACTACTATAAATTGTTTATAGTTCAGACAAGGAGAGAGAATTTTCTTTTGTTTACTACATTTTCATCTAGTTTCCATCAAATTAAATTAAAAAAATATATATATATATTTTATTGATTTTTTACAGAGAGGAAGGGAGAGAGATAGAGAGCTAGAAACATCGATGAGAGAGAAACATCGACCAGCTGCCTCCTGCACACCCCCCACCGGGGATGTGCCCGAAACCAATGTACATGCCCTTGACCGGAATCGAACCTGGGACCTTTCAGTCCATAGACCGACGATCTACCACTGAGCCAAACTGGTTTCGGCCATCAAATTAAATTTAGTAGAACTGTGGACTAAGAACTTTTAGTTTTAACATCTTTTGACTGGGGGCAGTTATCAGTAATACAATTAACTCAGTTGTTTAAAGTTTAGTGGTAATGTCTTTCCATTGATCCTCCTTCCCTGTTTTTGCACTATTACACAAATTTATGGTCTCATTACAGATTATCTTTACTTTGATAATAAACATCTAGTATGATCTCCTTACCTCCTATTTCTCTGCCCCTAATCCTTGCCCCCAGGTAATTTTATACCTGCTGCCAGAACAACCTTCCAACATTCCAGTAGTCTAGTGCTGAGCATTTCTTGTATAAAAATCTTTAAAAGAATTTTTTTAATTGATTTCAGAGAGGAAAGGACAGGGAGAGAGAGATAGAAACATCGATGATGAAAATCATTGATCAGCTGCCTCCTGCATGCCCCTCCCCACCCCCACTCAAAATCTAGCCTGCAACCCGGGCATGGGCCCTGACCGGGAATTGAACTGTGACCTCCTGGTTCATAGGTAGATGCTCAACCTCTAAGCCATGACAGCTGGGCTGTATAAAAACTTTTAATGACTATATACTAGTAGTACCTGCTAAACAAAGTTCAAATCCTTAGCCTAGTACTCACTATTGATCTAGCCTTTTCTTAGCTTCCCCGTCTACCCCCATTAACTACAAAAACCAGGGAAAAGAAAGAATTGCAATCCAGTGCATGTAGACATGGCAAGCTACTCTGCCTGTATGCCAAGATGGAGAGGTACTTACAGAGAGGAAAAAGGAAGCTAAGGGGAAGGGCAGATACAACCATAGAGTTTCATTTAAGCATAGAGTTCTTCCTGTAGGGTTCTCTCTCTTTTTTATTAATTTCAGAAAGGAAGGGAGAAGGAGAGAGAGAAACATCAATGATGAATCAGCTGCCTCCTGCACACCCCTCATTGGGGATCGAGCCTGCACGATGGCCTGGTTCTTGATGCCTTAGAATGCAAGAACTCATCTCCTAAGCCCAACTCCTTCCACAGATCCTCCCAAATGACCAGGTTCATTAAGTCTCAGTCATAATCTTCATCATGCTCCATGATTCCAAATATTCACTCTGGTTTAGCCAGTGTGTTACCTGGAGTTCTCTGGATATATCCTTTGATTGTTGGTTTATATTCCTCATTCAATAAGAAAATATGCTGTAAAGCAAAAATAGAGATAAGAAATAGGACAGGGAGAATAAAGACTAGGATAAGAGGTCAGCTGGAATTAAATGCAAATGTACAAACCATAATTTTATCCTGAAAGATGGAGATGGGAGAATAGTCATTGGTTTTGTCAGCGTAGGGGTGGTTGGTGACTTTGACAAACCATTTCAGAATGGGGAGCAAAAAGCAAGGTGGGAGTGGGGTGATGAGTGAAACAAGGTAAGGCAGTATACGTGGGGTGTGTACAGACCAATCTCTTAAGAACTTTGATGAAGATGGAGAGCAGAACCCAATTAAAAAATGGGCTAAAGGTCTGAATAGATATTTCCCCAAAGAGGATCTATACGTAGCCATGAAAAGATGCTCAGCATCATTAGCCATTGAAGAAATGCAATTTAAAGCCACAATAAGCTATCACTTTGCACTCTCCAGGGTGGCTGTAATAAGAAAGCCAGATAGTAATGTAGAATAATTGGGCCCTTCATACACTGCTAGTGGGAATGCAAAATGGTTCTGCTTCTTTGGAAAGCAGTTTGGCATTTCCTTAAAAGGTTAAACACATTTCTAGGTGTCTATGCAAGAGAAATGAAGGTGTGTGTGCAGGGCATGCTGGCAGTGGCGCCAGAGAACAGTGAGGAGGCCGCTGAGGAGTGCGGAGCAGCAGGCGCCGGTCCCACCTGATTGCTGAGACACTCAGTCCGCTGGGAAGCAGGAGAGGTTCCAGGCACAGCCGCTGCTCTTCCTCACACTCTGGACTTCCAGGAGCTCCGCGCTGTCAGGAAACTGCACAGTGAGGTGGCGGGTCCTGGGATGAGATGTGCAGGCAATCACTGATTTTTGCACCCAGCTCTTCTTGCATCACCCGGGCCTGGGATATTTGACCAAATTTGGGTGGTGATGGCAATACCATTTTATAAAGCTGAAAAACTTAATGGCTATATTGAAAAATATGGATATACGGTGGAGGCACCACAAAGAATAATTCCTGTAATTCTTCAAAAATGGCCTTTTGTATTCACTCACGGCTAGACTTGTTCCAGCCTGGAATAAAACTGGCTATCTCTTAGTACAATAAATAAATAAGTCATATATGTCTACACAAAACCTGTATACCAATATTCAAAGCAGTATTGAATTTATAATAGTCCAGAAGTGGAAACCACCCAAATATTTCTCAACTGATGAATGGGTAAATAAAATCTTGCATATACCCATGCGATGGAATTTTTAATTTTATTCAACAATAAAAAAGAATAGAGTACTGATACATTCTACAGAATGGATAGCCCTGAAAACATTATACCAGCGAAAGGAGCCATTCACAGAAAAACGCATATTTTATATTTTCATTTTTGTGGAACATCCAGAATAGGCAAATTCACAGAGACAGCAGGTCTGTGGTTGCCTAGGTCTTTGGGAAGGGGGATGGTTGAGGGAAATGGAGAGTGACTGGTAATGGTGGGTAATGGGTTTCTTTTTAGGAAAAAGAAAATGTTCTAATTTTTTAAAAATATGTTTTTATTGATTTGAGAGAGAGAGGAGGGAGAGAGAAACATCAATTGGCTGCCTCCTGCACACCCACCTCTGGGAATCAAACTGGCAAGCTCCTGGTGGGTGGGATGATGCTCAACCACTGAGACACACTGGCCAGGGCAAAAACGTTCTAACATTGATTGTGGTAATGGTTACACAACTCTGTGATCTAACTACCACTGATTTATACTTAAAATGGGGTAATTACATGGAATATAAATTATACATCAATACAATTTTTTTTATAAGATGGGGAGCAGAGAAATGAGGTAAAGGCTGGCAGAGGATGGGGATGGTGTTGAGAGAATTTTCTTAACGCTGGGAGATAAAGGTGGGTGTGGCTTAGTGGGTCAGCACTGACCCAGGAACCAGTAGGTCACTGGTTCAAT